TACCTGTGATAAACTAGATATCTCTTCTTGTTGCCCCTATAGCATCCAGAGTTTTGTTTTCTAACTTCTCTATAATTGCAGAAATATTAACTATTGCCTTTTCCAATTCACTCACTCCTAACCATGTGATAAACCATCGAACAAAACTATGAAAAGCGGTGTGTCTCTCTATCAATGGATTGTTAATTTTTTGTCTGATTCTCCAGATATGATTTCTCAAGTAACCTCGAGGCACTACATCATGTACTGTCATATTGGGGACTACTGCTCCAAGAGTGCAGGTTCCCTTCCAGTTCTCGGGCAAGACCTTACGGGCTGTATCATTGCATAACCAATACCACCCTTTTCCTTCTGGAACCGGCCAGCTGGTTGAATTTGCCCAACCGCTAGTTGTACTAATATCAATTGTTTGATTACAAGATGTCTGATTTCCCACATAAGTAGTACCCGTATTTATACAATCCTGTTTTCCCATACCCTTAGGCGGGTTACACCTTTGTACACATACATAGTAAGATTCCAATGGCACGAAGCTACTAACTTCTAGTTCCAAAACTTCTTCATATTTTTTTGACCCCAAGATGTGTTTTCCCACAAATTAGTCCAAGATAAGTTTGCAGGCAAGGGAATCCTGATTAACGATACACCCTTATTCCCATGCTGTGGCAGATGGGTGCATACCCAACAGTTCGTCTTATTAATTACTTGAGAAATTGTTTGTATCAGGGACAGGTGTAAGTTCTCATCCCAAACTGCCCACCCCGAATCTGAGAACTACACCCCTGCAATCATTAGGATCTGGAAAACCATAATTTTGTTGGTCCAATTGGAGTGGTGGTCCATATCCTTGCCAGGGCCTTCTTCACCTTGAATCGTGGATCCAAGCTGCTTGCTCCTTAATCTTAATGGCGGTGCGTGTTGTCAGTAATACCTGGTATGGTCCCGTCCACTTTCCTTCCGTTTTTCCTCTAGGGGTTGTCCTGAAAAAGTCTTTATATATATAATCCCTGAGCTTAAAAGGGTGGATTGGTTGATCCAACCGTCTAGCCCAGGTCCTGAGAACAAATTTATGTACTTTATTTAATTATTTCTGAAGTTCAGTTATATATGCATATAAATATTCTCATCCTAACTGCGTTCGATCCTCTCCACTAAATAGAAATGGATACGGCCTTCCATATAAGATTTCAAAGGGACTCAAATTCCCTTTTATTCTAGGTTTAACTCAAATTCTAAGTAATGCTAAAGGGAGGGATTGAGGTCATGACAAATTAGATTCTTGTCCGATTTTAGCTATTTGTTGTTTAATTAAATGTTTCATTTTTTCTACCTGTCCACATGCCTGCGGTCTATAAAGAGTATGCAGTTGTCTTTAGAATATCTTTAGAATCTTACTTATCTGTTGTACCACTTGCACACAAAAATGTGAAACTCTATCAGAAGACATGGCTACTAGAATCCCAAAGCATGGTATTATTTCATTTAACAAGACTTTAACCACTTCTTCTTGCTTTGTTCTCCCCAATGCCTCCCCAATACCTCCTTAATCAATCCCCACTCAACCCCTCCGGGACCCTCAGCCGAGCGCCCCCAGCACCTCTACGACCCCATTTCCCCCCAGGTTCTTTATGAACTGTTCCAAAGGGGCATGCCTCGGGGGGCAGAGAGGGGGATGTAGGCAGCTTTTTGGGGGGCTGGCAGCCCGGTGCGGGAGGCGGTGGAGCTGCGGGCCCGCCCAGGGCCTGCCCGCGTCGCCTGGGGCGAGCTCCGCAGCGGCGGCCGTTGCTCCAGCGGCGGCCATTGCTGCAGCGCCTCGGCCGGGAAGATGGCGCCGCCCCGCGTCAAGTGCTGCCAGAAGGTGCTGTCCTGGTTGCCCGTGGTCTTCATCGCCTTGGTCGTGGCCTGGTCCTACTACGCCTACGTGGTGGAGCTGTGTTTGTGTGAGTGCGGGGAGGCAGGGAGGGAAGGACGGGAGGGTGAGGGGGCTGCTGCCGCCCGTGGGGGACCCCTCGCCTCCCATGGGGGACCCCTCGCCGCCCTCACGGAGCCTCTCCCCGGGCATGAGGAGACGGCGCAGCCCTCGAGGGGTTCCTTTTGCCCCCGAGGGGGTTTTGTTTTCCCTGCCCCGGGGGTGGCAGAGGAGCCGGGTTTACCTGTTGGCTGTGTGGAGGGAGGGGGCTCGGGGGGGCTCTGCCCGCCCTCAGGCACCTCACGGCGGCCGAGGCGGGCACAGCGTTTGGGGACGGGAACCTCAGGGGGACGATGAGGGGCAGAGACCCCAACCCTGAGACTTCCACAGGGCCCCTCAGGATCCCTACCGGGGCCCTGGGGGGGTCCCTGCCCCTCACAACTCCTGCCGCCCCGGAGAAGTTTCCCCTTCCCCTCCCTATTCCGATTATTTGCAGCCGATCCGGAACTTCCTCGTGTACCACACAACTACTTCAACGCCTCTCGCTGCGCTCCCTTTTGCCCCTGCTGATGAAGAGTCCCGGCCCCCGCTGTCATTGAGGTGTAATTGGGTTGGAAACATCCTCCCTAAGCGGGATTTGGGGCTTAGGGGCTTGTCGGGCTGCGTCAGGGCTCGTGGTGGTAGGGTTCGGCGTTACATAAAGCTCATTTGCAGTCGGTGTCGGTCAGGAGGATATTTACCCTTTTCTGGCTTTGCGGTCTGGTTCAGGAGGATGTTTACCTGTGCAGGAGAAATGTAAAAATACGGGGATACACAACCGGACTTGTTGAGCCAGGGCTGTTTTCAGCTGCGTGCGTAGGTGTGCTCGTGTCTGGGTCCCTACTCTTACCGCTGTTCATGTTACATACTTGCTTTGATAGCCCTAAACTTGTAAAGATAACTGGCCTTTAGAAATAATCAAGGTATTGGGTGGTTTTTTTTTGGTCCACAGTACTCAGTTCTTGCCTAACTTCTGGATAATACTGAGGTTTGGAGGGCATGAGTGGTTGCTACAGCAGTCCTGAGGGGGGCTGTGTGAGGTTATGGACTTATGTTTGTTTTACAGTTGTGATTGAAGTCTGACTGTTCCAGCAAAAGGCAGACCAGGAGTACGTGTTTCTTCTCATAAGTAAAGAACAGAAATTCAAGAGATGAAGTGACTTGCCCAGGGTCTCGCTGGTGATCTCTGGCTGAATCAGGGACAGGACCTCAATCCTTCAGCTCTGCATCCTGATCACAGAGTGGGTCAGGGCTGGTTGCTGGTGAATCATTTTCTTCAGAAAAATGTCTTTGGCCCTGATCTTACGGAAGACCTTTGCAGGCATAGAGGGCTGCAGAGAGTCCTGCCAAATTCAGCACGGTTTCATTTGCGTGAATTATTGAAAGGGCTGGTTCCTGTTTATGTGAGAACTTTCACATCTATAAATCTGGTTTCTAGACGTCTGGCACTTCTTGCTCGCAAATCAGCTTTATTTTTAACGTCTGCAGATGCAGGCTATTAAGAAAAAGTGGTCATTTAGTAAGAAAATTACCTATTGATTTTTATTGCTGTCACTGACAGCAGTTGTTAAATGTCAAAATGATACTTGGTGACCAAGATTTGTTTTTCTATGATTTTTTTTTCTGATTTATTTTTTATTACTATTATTTTTAACCTTCTGTTGAATTTTCTGTGTACTTTTGATGAAAGGTCAACTCCTCAAGGAAGAGGAAAGGTATTTTTTCTGAGCTTGTTTGTGGTTGAGTCTCCCCCCTGCCTCCCCCAGTTCTTTCCTTCCCCTTTTTTGACTTCGCTGTTATGCTGCATTTGAGTTCAAACAAGCACAGAGAGGATTTATTGCAAAATACAGGATTTTCTGTTTCTTTTGGCAGGTATGTTTACTTTCTCCCCGTGCTCCATATGTTTTATTTTGGCTTGAAAACTACTGCAGTGTGTACTGTGAAGAAGAGCTAGGATGCAATTAATACACTGCTAATGAATGAAGTGACATTGGTCTCTGCAGATGTGCCTGTACAGCAGGCGCAGAAGCAGGGCTTTATGTCTTGTTGCGCTTCTGTGGCTGCCTTTAGCAAGGGGCACAATACGCAGCTGATGTGTGCCTGGGTAAAGGAAAGACAGGAGGAAGAAGGAAAGTTTTAGAAAAGAGGAAACAGACTAGAAAAATATGTGTAAAGACTGAGTAATACAGAAACTGTAGCCACACAGACACCAGTGGTTTTTTATTTCCAAGGTTATTCGTAAAGGTTAGGTAATTATTAAGATGTGAAGCTTACAAGGAAACAGGAAGAAAGAAAGAAGGCCTTTGTTCCCCCCAACTATTTCTTCCATCCTGTTTGTTTTCCTCCTTTGAGTCCCTGCGCATGAATTCAGAGTTAAACATATGTATTCAGTTAGTAGGTGTAGTAGGAAGCCAAGTGTAATGTAGTATCAGGAAATATTCTTACTAATCAAAGTAGAAGACGGTGTAGTAAATCGGGGTTGCTTCTTCTATCCCGTCATTCCTTTTTCCTTTCAGTTTTGCTTCCCAGCACTGCTTGCCCCACACTCCTCCTCTAGGACATTCCCCTACTCCTCAGTGTCCCGTGATTGGTGTCTGAAGCACTCGGGTTTGCTCTGTAATTCAGCACCAGTATGCGTTTACTTGGTTATGCCACTTCTACAACTTAATTATATTACTGACGTACAGCCTGTGAACACCAAGGAGGAATGGTATGGGCAAGATGAAAGGAGGTTCCCAGTATGAGCTCTTCTGTTGTTTTCCTCCTGTAGAAACAGCGTTGCGTTTCTCAGAAGCGTTGCAGCAGTACCTGGGTGAACGCTGGCCGTTTTAGAGCCCTGTTGCTGTGTAGTTGTGACCCAGCTGGTAAGCTAGCTATTAAGCTAATGGAAGGGTGAAAATGCCCTTTTCTCACCAAATGGATAGAAGGCGAGGGAATGTCAGCAGAGTAGTAAGAAGTGTGAACACGTAACTGAAGGCAGTGCAAAAGGCTTGTGGCCACATCTCATTCAGATTTTCTTCAAATGCGTTAAAGGAGAAAAACATGAATGAACACTCTCTTACTCGATTCTTTTTTCTTTCTGCATGTAGCTTGCAGGGAGCTCTGTCTGCAAGAAAGCACACCTAGAAATACGCTGTAAAATAGCTTTTCATTAGTCTAAAACCACTTCTTGTGTTCTTTCTTGTTATCAAAACATGTTTTGCTTTTAACATCGCTTTTGCAAACAACGGCGTTATTGTGTTGGTAGTGAATTGAACCGATTGTTTCTGGTCGCTACATCCCCTCAGAAGCTCAGCGTGAGCAGAGCTCTTCTCCTGGGGCTCATTTTCACTTCGGGCTGACTTGCATTTCATTACCTCTCCCTCCATCCTCAAAACCTTTTTGTGGGTGAGCAGCTGTAACGCGGCCTGGCCAGACCTCGTTCAGAAGTTGCTGTTTTGACGTTTGTAGTAAAAGTTAGTGGGTGAAACCAGCCTGTTTCATACAGACAACGCTTTGACTGAAGCACTGGCAGAATTCAGTAGTGCAATCTGCACTGAGAAAAATGTTATCTTTGGCTGAGTTTCCTGCAGATCGTAACTAAGGTCATTGGATGCTTTTACATATAAAAACAAAAATCTTGTTCAAGGTAGCATTTTACTTCTCTAGCTAAAACTATGTTCTGAAACCTCAGCCCAGAAGAGCCAGGACTAGTTACAAGGAGAATGGCTTGGTTTAGGAACCTACTGGTCTTTTATAAATGTTTCTATGTCTTAAATTCCTCAAAGCCTGGAAAACTGTGATTTTGAAAGCTGCAGGAGTAATTAGCTTTGCGTACTTTCTTAGCACCTACTTGCAGAGCAGTTTGCTTTTTTTAGTGCAGTGTAATATCTAATGTGTCTAAAATCTTGGCAAACAAAGCAGTCTGTAATTTGGGATTCATAACATGGTACGAACTTAACTGGTTATTCTGAAGGCTGCAGCAGCCCTTTTAGGGAGGGAGATGGCTCTGATTTCCCCAAAGCATTGTCAACACGAGAAGCCCTCTGTGATCTATTGTAATGCTCCCGTTTGAAGAGTCTGTTGCATACACAGCAGGAAGGTGATCCCATCTGCCTCCTCAGGAAGAAACCCAGGAGAAATCTCTGCCCAAAATGTGACTGCAGTAGTTATCAAGCAGTGGCAGTGTGGTGGAAGCAGCAGCAGCTCAGTAACTTCTGATTTCTGCCCACAGCAAAAGTGAAAGTATCAGCACTTCTCTCCAGTGCTGGCATGTTACGCGTGCAAATCCATTCCCTGAGGAGCAGGGGGTTCCTCTTCAGGAGAACAAACAGCTAATTAAACACGTCGGATCATTAGTTAACTGTGCTTATGCGCCTCTCTTGTGAATTTCAGAATAAGGAAATTAAAACACCGTGGACACGCTTGGTTATGTTGTGGTGCCTTGGCTCAGGCACGCGGATTGTCATCTGAAAAGAGGACCTCTTCTGCTGCTAGCAGTACGTGGGATTCCTGCCAAGGTGCTCTGGCTGGATACAGATGTGTTGGAAAACCGGGTGCTTGGGCAGAAAGATTATCAAGCTGCTTATTTGGTGCTTTGCACTGCATTGGTTGTGTTAGTTTATAGGGCTGGCTGGGCACGTGCCCTTTATATGGTATGAAACCTGCTCTCTGGGCACTCCTCTAATGAAAAAAAACCTTCCATGAGCAGCAGCACTAGCTCAGCCTGGTTTCTTGGGAAATTGTTTTAGCTCTCTGCTTTCCTGAGCACTGCCCGAGGAAGGGCTCCACCCTCCTCGCTGCCAGCCCCGTGCAGAGCCTGGCCCCAGCCCTGCATTGTCACTTGTGTCACCGAGCCCCTGGGTTTGGTCCAGGCGTGCAGGGAGCGGCCAGAGGCACGAAATGAGCACCTGAGCTCAGAGCTGCCACGTCCAGACAGGGAGCACCAAACTACCTGTCCTGTTCGGGTGAAATTTGCTGCTGCCCACTTAGAGTTCTACTAGCAAATTAAAAACTCACCCCTGGTTTTAATTAGAGGTTTTGCTTCATCACTTACTGGTCTGCCAGTCTTCTACAAGATGCTTTGAGATAAAAGGGCCAGAATATCAAGTGCATGCTTTCAGCAGACGGTAATTAATTTGAGGTCGCTGACTCTGTGTACCATGAACTTCAGGTTCTACTCAAAAGAAAAGTTGATTTGCAGTGCTTACTTTTCTGAAATATGGACAGGTTTGTCTTGATAGTGGTGCTGAAGGCCCTAACAGGTTCTGATGTATCTAATCTAATGTATAGGCTGTTGCATCCTGAGGTTAATATATAAATCATACGCAGTGCTTATTTTGTTCAAAAAAAAAAAAAAAAAAAAGAGCAAAAAGGTGGTGCTGCTTTATTTTCCCCATCCCACCCCTCAGACCAAAAAAAAAAAAAAATGTGTTTTAGGAATGTTTTCAGTGAAACTGGTATTAATTTCAGTGGAGGCTGACAGCAATTTCTAACTACTTAGAAGCAGCAAAGAAGAAAGCCGAAACCCAAGAGCTGAGCTTGTAACTGAAACTGCAGGCCAGGGATTGTGGGATGCAATGGTAATGTCTTGTTCTGTGTTTATTTCCTGAACTGGAGTTCAAAAGCTGAAATTGATTTCTTGCTGGTGTAAAGCTGCTTGTTACATTGCCAGCCTAGCAAATACTTACAGGTCTGTTCTAGAAAGATTAAATATTAACTTATTCAAAGGAAGGCTTCGTCATGTAAAGATCCTGTGAAACTGTTGACTTCTGTGTGCTAAGTGACTTTGGACAAGCACTAGGATTGCCCTTTGTTTAATCTGTCTGAGAGTGGGAATAACAGCAGTGCAAGGAATAAAAGCAGAATCCCAAAATTTACATGAACTTGAGGTAAAACAGAAGTAGCTTTCTTTTATTTTTATTTCAGTTAAAGATGATAAGACAGAATGAAAATCACAAGTGTTTCAGTGTTCACTTTCACCTCAGCCTGCCGGAGCTTGCCAAATTAAAATTGTTCTGCCCAGTCTCATAACTGCTTTCTGGTCCGGGAGACCTGGGTAAAAATAAGGAAATTATCTTCCTGCTTCTGTAAGGCTTTACTTCATTTCTATGAAGTTTAGTGTGGTTTTGTTTGTTTAAGTCTCACAAGTGATAAGATCTTAAGCTTTTCTCTGGATGTAAAGACTGTTCATTATCTTGAGTCTTTAAGCATCAAATTTGGCTCAGTTTAGTTTTGTACTTTAGACAGAAACGCAGGAGGAGGCTGTGCAAGTATGCACATCCAATATGTGCTAACTAATGAGGAATTTGCTTTTCTTCAGGGTTAACCTCCTTTAGCTTGAAGCTAGAGGCTTCCGTGGACAGACAGACAGGGTGCTGAGCATGTCTTTTAAGGAGAGAGGGAAAAAAATCAAAATCTGAACAAAAAAGGTTCATCTGTACATCAGGGTATCACCTTGTTACATCTCTGCATACTATAAAGAGGCACAGTTGTGTAATAGGGTTGCAGACCCCTTTGCTATAGATATCTGCAGCTAAGTGAGGCACATGCTGCCTCTGTGACCGAAGTAGCTCTGTGGAACGAAGCCTGTAACGCACACTGAAGCCCTGCGGATTTAGCTCTCTAATGTGCATCAGGGAAAAGCTCCTTTGAGCCGGCGTGCAGACTGGTGACTGGACAAACATCAGCGCTGAGGGAGAGGAGATGATGTGGAGTGAGGTGAATGGCAGTAGGCAGGACGTGCTCTGTTCACCTTTTGCTCGTGTTGATGGCCAGGAACTTAAATTTGCTGTGTCAGATGAAGAGTCAGGAAAAGATCCTTTCCTCATTGGATTTCAGGAATTTAGGGAAGAGACCCAGCAAGGAGAGCGGTATGAACAAAGTGACCCAGTAAGTACAGCTGCTCTCTGATCAGTGTCTTGCCTAACTGATGAATGAACTCCAAAGGTTTCAGAGAAGCCTGAGAGCAAGAGGATGCACCAGTCAGAGAGCATGTAGGATAGATTTGAGCAAACAATTTGGTGTTGGGATAAAAAGAGATGAAGGTGCAGAATAGGAGGAATTTGGGAGATTTCAACTGTCTTAAGAATTTGGGTTGGGGAGGGAAGTACAACAGGTTGGCCTGGATGTTGATGTGCTCCAGAAAATGTGCTGGGTGCGTATCTGAAGGGCAAGTATAAATTATGATCTAACTAATGGCTGTGGAAAGGAGTGTGCTCCTCTGCTGGTTAGAGCAGGGAACTGGATCTCTTCAGCTCTTCCACTGACTCGCCAAGCCTCAGGGGCTGGCAGAAGGAGTACTGAGTCCTGGTTTACCCAGAGTTGGGCAGGGAGGCCTTATTAACACCTGATACATGATTTGGAACAAGTCGGCTATCTTGGGTATCTTACTTTTATCCAAATTTTTGATTCAATGCAGATTTACTTACCATATATCTTTTTTTTTTCTCTTCCAGTTACTATATCTTCAACTGCAGAAAAAGGTAACATTTAATTATTATTTTTTAATGTAAATAGTTTTGTTGCACACAAGTCTTAAGGGATATAGAATTGAAATGTATTTCTTTGTATGTAACCTCTCTGTAGTAAGTAGATCATTGCTAAGAAACAAGTTAAATATTGTGATGTTGGGTACGCTGAGCTCACAGTACCGCTTGGGATGAAGACAAGACCTGTGAGGAAAGTAACTTTGATTTAGGTTTGCAAATATTTTTAAATGGGTACCTTCTGAGAACAGAAGAGGGAAGGAACTGCAGCAGTCCATTTTCTGTTTCATCCTGAAGGAATGATGAATATTCATCTTACCAGCCTCCTTGCAACCTCTGACCAGTAAGACTTTTGGAAGAGGAGGGATTGTTGTACTGTTTGCTGTTTTTCCAAATAGCTTACCAGGTTCCTCAGAGCACCATTCCTCAGGACTGGTCAGAACTGTGCAAAAAACACAGCCATTTCAAAGGTGACTGCACATTATAATTTTAGATTTCCAGGTTAAGTGGTTAAGGCCTTGTTTTTACAAACTTTCCTTAAGCCTTATTATTGTCCTTGTCAAATATACGTCACAGGGGGTAGTATTTATAGAGATTCAAACTCACCAAAGAAATTCCAGCATGCTTGCTGCTTTTAATTGTGAACAAAAACTAGGCTAGAGGATCATTCAATTCCAGAAGTTCAAAGTGCTGTTGTTTTTTTTTTTAATAAGACTTCAGGCTTTTTTCCCCACAGAATCACTATAGGGATATTTGGAAGTCCATTTCAGCTTAAGAGAGAACGTGAGAGTGATTATCATGATTTTATGCTACGCATAGGTTGGCAGTTCCATCATCCACTGAAGGCTGTCTTCAGAGTGTGAGACCTCTGGTAAGAGGCTCTCATCTCTTAAATATTTTTGCAAAAGAGAACTTGGAGGTAACCCATCAGTTTACTTCCTGGTGGAGAGCATTCAGAAGAAAACTGTAAAAAGGAGGAAACTTGATGGAGTCTGTCCTCTTTCATCTTTTAAAGAAGAGGTGAAAGAGTGGGAAAACCTCCAAAGTAAACCGTAAGCTGTTCAAGACGGAAGCTGTGTCTCAGCGTGGGTTTTTACATTGCAATGCACAGCTGGGCTTCATCAAGACTTCACAAAATTCTGCAGGTTGCTGCTGTGCTTTTACTGTCTGGTTTTACTAGAAGTAAAGTTTTACTTTCTAGTTTCTTTCAGAAAGGCAAGATTCATGTCTCTGTTAAAGAAGCCTGGCAGAGCAGTGATGGTGGTGTAATGTAGCCACATCTCTTGGCTTTAATTCAAATGCAGTGCCTGCCTGATCGAAGCAGGCTCTCTTAAATCTACAGAGAAGACAAATGCTTGATTAATTAATGAGAACAGTATCTTTGAAACCTGCCTGTTAGGCTTTTGAAAGCAGTCGTTTGCACATATTTTGCCCTTTCAGTTCTACGGCATGTCACAGGCACCCTGCATGCATGAATTTCTTTACAGTGGAGGTTGATCTTGAAATGTGAAGTTGTTTTTTCATTTGAAATAAAAGTTCCAAGTTTCATAAAGTTCTTGCAGGCTAACTTCCAATAGCCAGGAAATAGAACCAGGAGAGTCAAATGGCCAAAGCACTGATAACATTGCAATGTAAATAATATGTATAGTAGCAAATATATTTTGCACCATTTTTCATTGTGCTCTGTTCAAATTCGTTTACTGCAGGTTTTTAATTACACTTTGTAATTCAATTGCTGGTGATTTCTTCATCCCATTAAGGCTAACTGTTTCCGTGTCTTTGTATTTTCATATTCTTGCGTAGATTTTTATCCATTAGGATAGAACAGCCAGCTCTCAATCTCTCCACAATATAATTTAGTTCTATTGAGTATTGTCAGCTCTGTAATCCTACTCTGTCTTTAAAGTGGAGTTAAGAATGATGCAGGAAAAAATTGTGAGGGGTAAATCTGAGGAAGGCTTAGTATACTTCAGGAGGATGCTAAGAGCATATCTTATGACATTGTCCTCCCGAGGGTATAACTTAAGGTCTAATGTGCACCGGTGCCTTTAAGGTGAAGTCGTTTCGCTTGGTCACAGCATGGCACCAGGAATCCTGGACGCCCTAGCTTAGCTGGGGCTTCCTCACATCTCTGAAATAACAGATATTGGGGTTTGAGGTATTTGATGGTTTTCTCATGTCTTCAAATTACAAGAAAGTAAGCTGAATAGGAACGAAGCCAGCTTATATTTATATTTGAAACTGATGTGAGATGCTCCAGGGAGTACTCTGCAGAGTGGTACTGCTACTCAAAAGGGATCGGATCCTAGGGCTGAGTTTTATGGCCAGAATTAAGCTGTTTATTGTGCACCTGACTTTTGCCGTGCCCTTCCCTCCACAATATCGTTTCCTCTTTCCTCCTATTAACTCCTCTCACCCTTTTCTCCCCCAAAGCTTTGATTTATGCAGCTGTTTCCACTAAGATTTTAGGTCTTTCTCCTCTTTGCAGATTTCTCACTTTTTAATTTCTTAACCATGTTATGTTTGAATGTGTGTAGTATGTTTTTAATAGAACACAGTTTCTAATTATGTAGCGCCTAGCACAGTGAAGCATAGGTTCTTTCCTATCAGAAATAGGATTCAAGCAACAATTTTAGGATGGTTTTAGAAAAAGGCTTTGCTTCTTGCTTCCACAGCTGAAAATTTGCCAGATCTATAGTTGGAGGAGTCAGAGGCAAAGAGAAAAAGCAGAATTCTCTGAAGGAAGCTCAAGTTTAATTTGTTTGTGTGTGTGTGTGTTTTTTTGTTTTGTTTTGTTTTTTGTTTTTTTTACTGTAATGAACAGTAAAAATCCTGAAAGATGAAAAATTAAGACTATGCCTGCTGTGACTGTGTACCTGTTGTTTGTTGGTTTGTTTTTTTTGTTTTGTTTGGTTGGTTTGTTTTTTTGAGCTGCTGAAAGTTCCTGAAGTGTAGGGTCTGTTCTGCAATCCATGAAGAGTGTAATATGGCTTCTTAAAGGACTCTGTATTTGCACAGGACAGTAGGTCAAGTTTCCTTCTTGCAACTAAAGAAATGAAGATAACGTAAATACTTGGCATGACATTTTGTAAGGTTTGCTGATCTGGCATGACCAACCAATTTCCTCTTTACAAATGGTAAAAGAAACCATTAGAGGAAGCAAGATTGGAAGAAGCTTCCAGGGCCGTAAGTCACAAGCCTTTGGTGTTTAAGGCAACCATATCACACACATCCATTCATAAATTGATGGGGCTCCATACTACTTGTTATTGCCACAGTGGCTGTAATAGCAGGACTCTTCCTCTGAAGATTTGAAATAAGATTTGCAAGCAATTTTAACTCACTCCAAGATGAGACCTTGCTGTTTAGTCCTCTCTCTTCCTGGTTTGGGGTTTTTACTCCTATTGAAAACCAGCACATTCCACAATGGCACAGTATTATGCTGTTTCTATTAGAAGTACATCTCTTGATGCATACTAAAAAATTAAATTGATCTCTGTAGGCCAGTTATCACATAATCTAGAGTAGAACTGGAGCATCTTTATCTAAACAGGTTAGTCACTTGCATGCCTTAGGTGAAACTGTATTCACTTCTGTTTTTGTTTTTTTTTTTTTCCTTCAAAATCTGCTGTAGAATCTTACATAAAAACATATTATTTCCTTGATGAATAGCAACTATGACATTTAGTGATTTGTTGGTGGTGTTACGGAGGCTTTTTGTGTTCTTTTTTTTTTTTTTTTTTTTTTTCAAGTGGGCACTGCCAGAGTGCTAAATTTACCCAGGCAAAAAGGTTTAATATAACTTATCAGCTGATTCATAATGTCATAGTCTAGCCCTCATCAAAAATCAGGGGTTTTATCTCTTGCTCTCTTCAGCTATATTCACCAAATTTTTATTTGTATTTTATTGCAGTTGTGTACCTTGTGGTTTTTCATCTGTCATTTGTCATGTTTGTATGGTCGTATTGGAAGACAATTTTCACATCTCCTGCATCCCCTTCCAATGAGGTAAATCTGACGTTAGAAAAATGTCAATGCTTTTTTTATAAATAGATGAACTGTTTTCAGTGATGAAACTTGTTTGCAGTAATGCATGATTCACCTTTCCCTTCTCATTATCTAAAATAGAACAGCTTGACAGCATATCATGAATGCAAATCATCAGATTACTCCTAAAATACTGCATGCTTTGTATAATGGCATTTCCTTATATTAAATGTGTTTAATTCATCTCAAGCTTGACAGTCACATGTATGTGCAAAAGTAGTAAGACAAAAAAGCAAATTTGGGGATACAGTGCTTTGCTAGGATGCAGTTTGTTTGACTTCTGACATTTTTAAAATCAATAACTCCAGTGGCTGCATTTTTGTATTTTTTAGATAGTTTTGACCTTCAAGTAGGAAAGCGTAAGCCTGAAATGAATTACCTTGTTTTCTGCTTTCCCTCGGGGATGTATATGTAGGGATGAGATGGTGGCACCAAATTTAAAATACTTTCCTTGGTTTTAAAAAGCTTTTAAACTGGATAAACTTTTTGAGACTTTGATTGTTCTGTGGAGGTTGCATTTTTATTCTATTTTTAGCAAGATTGACTTTCATTGCTCATGTCAGTCTTAAATATTTTTGTAAAGAGTTAAAACTGTACTTCTATGGAAAAGCAAACAATGCTCTGTAGTACATAATTATGTCTTAGATATTCTGCAGCTTTCTAAGATACATTTATAAAGTGAAAAAAGCTAAAGACTATTCTGCTTTTTAGTTAAGTGAAAAGAGTAGTACTGAATAGTTAAGCTTACAAATGCAAAGGAGAAAAAAATTCAAGGACATTTCATCCTGAAACGTCTTCAGGGTGGTATGATTTGGCTTTATGTGGGGGGGATGTTTCTGCAGGCAAATGATAATGGTAAGCAGGTTAGCTGGTTACGATGTGGTTGCAACTGTAGTTTTTGTAAAGGTGTGTGAATTTGGGCTGCTCTGAGAGCAGTCTGATAACTTTTACTGTCTGCTTGGGTTCTTCAGTAGTAGACTGACAGTACTGACAGTACCTGTAGTTGCAGTAATGTTCTAGCAAGCTTTTGCTATTCATTGACTGAAAGGGATGGTTTCAGCATATGGCATGTAAGGAATGTTTCCTATGTTAACGTGGGTATAGATCAGATCGATACAATTCTTTCATAGGAAAAAAGCAACGCAGGGAACACTTTTTTTTTCTCTCTCTCTGGGAAAGTCCCTTCTGTTCATGTATCAGTGAGTAATTTTTGCAGGTTTTTATATTTAAAAACAGACTTCAGAATCTCCTCATTGTATGAAAGTGTAAATGTATATATTTTTAGTCATTGAAGTTTGCCATTCTTGCAAAACAAATAGCATCCTGTGATCACACTATTGAACTAAAAAAAGATTCCGCAGCTGCTGTTGTTCTAGTGTAATCCCTGTACATTTGTCATAAGAAATAACAATGAACATTATTAGATCCAGAAAGAGGAAGGAAACAAAGGGACTCTTTCTGGTTTTGGTAAGAACCAGTGGAACCTCATTGGAAATTCTGTTAGCTATGTGGTAATAGACAACTTTTGATGTCTTTCAACATACATATCCTGCCATTGTCTAGCAAATCTGTGGTTTCATGTCCTTTTTAATTTCTGAAATTAGAACAGAAATATTTACTTCAGAAAAACAAAATCCTTTTTTTTTTTTTTATTAGAGTTTATTTTATGTTACTTGGAAAAAAAAAATCAAAAAAAAATTAATTTTGTGTTTTAGTTCCCTTCCTGTACATCAATGACTTGCCACAGAAGTGTCATCTAGAAGTAGCGTTTTGTGTTTAATGCGACCTCTGCTTGATTGCAGGTCATGGAGACAGCCATTTGCTACCCTAGCAGGCTCAAAAAAGGCAATAGGGATAAGGCATGATGCTTCAGATCTATCTGAAGTTTTTGATGTGAGCATCTCCAGTTTTCATATTTCAGTAAATATCTAGGCTTTTAGCTTAGAGACAAATGTTTAGAGGAAAAAAAAAAAAAGGTCAAACTCTTGATGATGACTAAAGTATTAAACTTCATTTTCATTCTTTGCATAGATTGATACTAATTTGTGATTATTTAAATGGAAACAATGCTTCATGTTTCATGCTCAATAGTAGGGTAGGGTAGGCTCAATAACTGGAATGCTACCATATGTAACAGGTGACAATTAGATTCTATGGGATAGGGTGCAATTTATTTGCATTCTAGATTGGGAAATAACACTGAGAAATTGCAGCCATGTCTTACTGCTTCCTCCTTTTCTGTAAGTCGAGTGTTTGCTGTTGCTTGCCAACCAACTCAAATCCAAAAGAGGAAAAAGTACATGATGAGATGAAAATCCATGTGAACTAGTCATATACATATTCTTGGTAGGAAAATATGTTCATGTTAAGCCACACTAAGCCAATTTTTGTTCCAGCTGCATACAAAGCATTTTCCACTCACTGCTATGAATACTTTGTCTATGTGTGCTCATAAAAAGGGTTCTTGTAGTCCTTGTGGGAAGCTCAGAGTTTAAAAGTGCTTCAGAATAGAAAATACCAGAGGAAATTGTGAGTTCAGCCCTCACTCCACGGGGACTTGTCAGCACACTGGGTTTTGTGGGGCTTAATGGTAAAGCTGTAATTTCAGTGGATACCAAAGCGTTTTGCAAGTGAGTAGAAGCTCTCCAGGTTATACTGGTAAAGCTTTACCTTTTAGTAAGGCTTCTACAGGAGTGGTCCTCATGCTATATTCAGGTTTGTAACTCTGAAACTGTACAAGCTTTGTTGAAGTTGCTTCCAACATAGGTTAGGGATTTTGAAACCAGTGCTGACTACTCCCAAGTAAAAATTCCATTTAAACTCTTCCAAATTCTGTGAGGAAGCAATGAAAATTCCTGGTCGCCACCCCCACCTCCATACACACCCTCTTCACTATTTTCTCTGGCTTATGCCCCTCTCTAAGTCAGAAAGTGGGTTAAAAGAACTTCAGTCTCCTGTCACATTTACTCTCATCAAGAGTTAAGTTCCACCTTCTTAAAACTCCCCTGAGCTTCTGGCTTCCTTTGTGTTGAAGGGAAAATGCAGTAGGTAATGAAATGGAGACAAAGATGATTCTCTTTAAAATATGCTCAGGACCATCAGGACCATCATGTAGTTTTGAGGATCTCCTGTAGTATTCAAGGGGAAGGAGAATGTCAGGGGTCGCTCAGAGACAGGATTAAGGTACATAGGGTCTTTTCCTTGGAACTTGAGTAGGACACAAAGTAATAATTGTTCTTATCCCTTCATTCTGTCTTTTTCCTTCCCAGTTCTGCTTGTCAAAAGCTGATAAAGAACAATATGAAAAGGAAGAGAGACCAGAATTCCAGCAGGAGATTTTGAGAAGAGCTGCTAAAGACTTGCCTATCTGTACGACAACAGCATCAAGAGGTGAGATACAAAGATAATTCTGTGCTCCTGAAGCTGCTTAGTTTAATTTGGTGAGATTCATTTGATGTTAATGAACAATCTATTAAGCATGTACTGCAAAGGCCATAACCTTGTGGTGTGTTTTTTTTTTCCACCATGAGAAATTCAAGTCCTTTGTCTGGGATCTCTATATACAGCCAATGTATGGAATAACTTTTTCAAAAAAAAAAAAAATTCCTCTTCTTTTAAGCAGACAGATGACAACATTTGTCTCTAATTCTGGCTACAAAAAGTAACCACTGAAAATAAATACACCTGGAAATAGATGAAAATTAAACTGTACACTTAATTTTACAATCTTTTGTGTTCCCCATTAAATTGCTTTTTCTGGGCTATAGCAATTCCATGGGAGCAGAAACTTCATTGTTAAAGCTAGAATTTAAGAAGGATTAACTCTTATTTCACTCCCATCTATAACTCAGTACAGAGCTTTAATAAGTATAAACATTTTTATTCCAAGTTATATATGAATCATCTGTGAAACAGTTGTCTTATGCATATGTATATATATTTTTTAAATATACCTGTTTCTCTTTCTTGAAACTAGAAATGTTGTATTTTTCTCCAAAAATATAAAATACTCAGGATACTAGTCACCAAAGTCAACTGTGTCTTTTCAAACAAAGTGTCTATATACCTGGCTTTTTTTGAATACAAACCTCCCTCCGAGGGAATCCCAGTCCCTGGAAGGGTCTGGGAAGCTCTTGTCAGATCTTAGCAGTTCTGCTTAGCTGTAGGTGTTGGCTTTCCTCCTCCTTTCAAACTGACTGTACTGGTGTCTTGTTTCCATTGAGAAGAGCTTGAAGGCTTATTTAAAAATAACCAGGAAAGATGAGGAAGAGCTAATTTGCTGAACAGTCTGCTAGATCTCTGTTTGCTGAAGAGGATAGAGACGGCTAATGTTGAAAGTTGGCTTACTGAAAGATTGTAGTTTCACGATGGGATGCTTAGGTACTCTCTCCAGAGGTGAAGGAAAACAGAAGATAGGTCATTGCCAGAGGGTTGAAGGATGGGGAAACTGAGGAGGTAAAGAGTAAATGGAAATGGACTCCATATAGCAGTAATTTACAAGTAATTTAAATACTTTCATATGTTTCTTTAAAAAAAACTCAAACATATATATTGTATGAGTAGGTCTGTGAAAACAGGTATGATTGGAAGGGAAGGAAGCTCTCTAAGATTCAGTTTGTATTAAGAGGGAAAGTCTTCATAAAATGCAATGAGTTATAACAATGTGACCCTTGCCACTTGAATGCAGCCATCAGATACTGTGATCGATGCCAGCTAATCAAACCTGACCGCTGCCACCACTGTTCTGCATGTGACATGTAAGTTACTGCACCTGAAATGATGGATTTTCTCTTTCCTTCTATTACAACCACTTCAGTGTGTTAATTTCATCAGTGTGTCAACCCCTGCATGCCAGCAGATTTTACTATTTGTTCCCTTCTCAGACCCTTCATACTCTGATTCCAAGGAAGCAAAGTTCCTCCCATTAGTGCTTTATTATTGTTGCAGCCCCATAGACCAAAATGCCAGAACTTGTTAGGAAACCTGCAATCTGCTTATAGCTTTATAAAGTAGTGCTTATGTAAAAACAAATAAATTGGCACTGAAAGCAAAGAAAGGCAAGTCAGAGATACCAGCACGTGGTTATTACAGAGCTCTTCTATTTTATCTTGGTTCTGCAGCTTTGAAACAGCTGTGTGTTACTAATACTGCTTTATCTCAAAGAGTGACAGTGGAATTGCAGGTCTTTGCTGTTCAAAAGACACCACTGTTGCTCCCTAACCTCATTCTGAGTCATCAGAGAAGTCTGTAAGGGTGCTGAATCTGTGAGTGAGACTTTGTATGTCTGAGCTTGAGGAAATCTACTTAACTAAAGAACCTAATGCGCATCTTTTGGCTAAAATCAAATTTATTAGCAAATGAATGTCTGTCTGAAATGTCTAGCATCCGGCTTTATACAAAAACTGGATGTAAATAGCCTATGAACTATTCAATTTACCCACTGTGCTGTTTTTTTCCCCCTCAATTACCATAAACAAACAAGCAAGGAACAGACAAAAAAGTAACAAAAATAGCCCTAAGGTAGACTTAGTTGGAATGAATGACCCGCTGACATACCTTATCCACACAGCTGCGAAGGGTCCTTTGGATTTGTTTTCTTTCATTGCTCACATAAGACTAGCGTGGCTTAATGAACTATAAATAATATGGTTTAAGTATTGCCCAGTAATGCTCCGCATGTTAATTTAAGAGGCTCTCTTCTCAATTCTCTCGTATCTCACTTAGTCCTTTTGGTTGAAAGGATGGTCACTGTAAAGTGGAGACATAGCATGAATGCAGAAGAATGGTCAAAAGTTTCAGTGAGGACATTACAATTAAAAGAAAAAACACAAACAGTAAAGTAAAATCATATGTCTTAGAAAGCAAATATACATTTTGCTTTAATTTGCTGGAAATAACCTCTACTCTTTTTTCAGATGTGTACTAAAAATGGACCACCACTGTCCGTGGTAAGTTTATTTAAAAAGAAAAAAAAAAAAGACTGTCATAATGATTAATTAGCTCCTACATGCTGCTTCAGAAAATGAAACTTTGAAGTAAAATTTGATTTTCACAGAATTTCTTGAGGCTTTATTATGTGAAAATAAATTTTGGTCCTAATGTGTGTTGCAACTTAGCATTGTAGGCCCAGCAGCCCAAACCATACATTTTTTCCTTATACAGAGAAACCATGGAGATAAGAAGACCTATGAGAAATGGCAGTTCTTTTAGTTCGGTGGTGTTATCAACAGAAGAGGCGATAACCACTACGTTGTGAAAATCAGTTCTTGATTCTAGATGATACATAACATGCCCTCAGATGGTTACTCTTCTGCAGTTTGTTTTCACTGGTAGTCAGTAAAAATATTATCTGCTGTTGCTGCAAAGATACTGCTATCAGTAGTTGACTTGAAAGTGTTTTTGTAACAAAAGCAACATCCACTGAAATTGATGGAGAGATTTGTATTATCTTCTGCAGTCGCTGTCATTAGTTCCTAGTATGTGAGATGCTTCCTAAAGAGACTGATGGCATCTAATGCTTTGACAGCTCATGCCTTGTCCTGTAGAAATTCTTGGGAGGGAACAAAATTTGTGGGAGGGGCCCAGCTAACAGCCTGAGGAAAGAGGCTTCATTCAAAATAATGGCTTAAAATGCTTCTGAAACACTAGTGCCAAACTCTTTTGGACATACTACTGACATCATACACATTATGCTCTGCAAAAACAGCTGAGTGTACTGTTATTTTATTTATTTGTTTTGGTACATCATAGTAACCTCTTTCTCTTTCCTCTTCTTCTAGGGTGAATAATTGTGTGGGGTTTTCTAACTACAAATTCTTCCTCCTGTTTTTAATGTATTCCTTACTGTACTGTCTGTTTGTTGCTGCTACAGTCTTGCAGTACTTCATAAAGTTCTGGACAGTAAGTTCTAAGGCTTTTTTGTGTTTGTTTGTTTAATCTTGCATGCGTTTATTGAAGGCTGCCTCAGCATGTTGTCACTCACCATTTACTCTGTTCCATAGTTCATTACCATTAACAGCATCAATCGAAGTGACTGAAGCAGGAGAACCTTCCGAATATTAATGAGTTAAATTTATTATACTGCCTAGGATGAGTAATTGGGGGAAGAAGCTCCAATGAGGACACTGTGGTTTCTCTGCTCCATCAAAATTGAATGTCACAGCTCAGATTTCTTTGAGACTATTGGTTATAGATAAGTAGATATAGAAAGACCCGGTTTTATCAAACAATTACGCGTGTGTATGTACGTGTATACATGTGTGTATGTTTAGATGGATACACACACGTATACATCAAAATACCAACAGATATGAAATACAATAACCTTGTATCTTTGTGGTTACTTTGCTATCGGAAAAGGCAGGTGAATCTTTTGGGACCTCACTAGTCTCTGTTTTGGAATCCTTACGTAGGCATGTCTGAACTTCATACTAGTGGGTTTTATTGATCTGATACGGGCAGAATGCTAAGTATGGTGTTAATGATATCTGTGTTCCTTGTAACCATTGTCAGTAGTAATAGATAAAATAATAGATACACATATGTGCACCTTACTAGATTTAGTAGAATATATGTGAAAGGTGAACATCCTTGCATGTCATGTGTCATTGTTCCTATCAGTTTTGTTGCAGTTATGTTCCAGGCTGAAGAGAGCATCTTCTGATGCTTCCTTTCATCTCTGAAACCTCGTACTGTGCCTTCCAGTCTCTTGAGACAGAAGAGCTAGCATCAGAATTCTCTTAATCAGATTCCATTAACTAACATGGGGAAAAAATCCCTGTTAAGCGGAAGGCTTTCCATCACATGTTTATAAATAAATGGCAGCACGTGTCTCTTAGATGCTACTTGCTGTTGCTGTAGCTGTGAAGAGCAGTAATTATCTGTAGCAAAAGAAAGACTCTTTACTGGAGAAAAGTGCCATGTCAGGGTAAGAGAAGCTTGATCATGTATTCAGAACAGCTGTACTTTGAGACAGATGTCACTAGACAGGTAAGATAAATGGTGCAGACACATTTGTTTGTGTTCGTCTGAGCCTATGGGTCTGATCTGCCAAAGTACTGCGTTTCTCTTAGTCTCTCAACTCTATGTAGCAACCCATCACTGCAGAGCAGCGTGTGGGAACTGAGCTTTCAGTATTGTGTGAGATGAAAGTCACAGGTGTATTTATCACCCAGAGCTGTGGCTTAACAGGTGTTGCAAATGAAATGATCCGATTCTGCTGTTCAGTCTTGCTTGACTGTAAATAGTTAAATTTTTAATTTGTGAATGTGTCACTTCCAAACATCTGCCTGGCTGCTTTCCAGTGCTTTGAATGCAATTTCCAATGAAACTGTAGATGCGCTCCTACATATTTACCAGTCAGTGCTTGAGCAAAGAAAATGAATTTGCTTTGTCACCTCACTTCATAGCTGTTACTGCAATGGGAGTCAGTAGGACATCTGACCACAACGAACATTTAATACCAACATTTGCAGCAAGCCTATTCCAAAGCCCATTGGACACGATAAAGAAGTGGACTCTTGAGCAGAGGAAGTGAACTTAAGAGGGATATATTTTTAACGCTTTAGTTGCTTAAAATGTTTTATGCAAGAATGGGCTACTTCTGAACTGTGACAACAGGAAATGTTAGCTGTGTGTTTGCATTTGTTGCTTTCATTTTCCTGTTACTTCCAAGCCGAAATCTGAAGATAGCAGGCTCTTATAATCAGATCTCTGAGTCATTCATACTAAAAGACTCATTCCACAAAGCTAATATTCCTATGATTTTGTAATAGCTTGATTAAAGTGGAATTCCAGAAAGAGTTGGTAGCACCAAAATTATGTGAACTTGCAAAATTTAATACGGCTCCAGTATGTAAGCATTTAGGTGGGTGCTGGTGACTACAGAATAGTCCTGGAAACTTCTCTCTACATCTGTAGATCAGAGTGACCAGCAGATACATCCTGCATGTAGATGGTTTCACTGTTGCTAATGCTGAGCAGTGGTTGCTACAGCATCAGACAGATAACTATTAGGGCTCTCTAGATTTGTTTGGTTTTTTGTTTGTTTGTTTTTTATAGCTTGACTGTCAGAAATGTTACAGTTTCCTTTTCAGAAGGTAGCATTTCTTTTTTGCTTCCTTATAAATGTTTTTAGAGAAAGCGTATATAGCCATTGCCAGGTAGAAGATGAAATACTTGGAATGTAACCTTCAGAAGTTGGAGTAATTTTAAGGGTGTACATGCTCCCTACACAAATTTTAGCAGTCTACTGTTTTGCACTGTTGATGGTATTTGTTTAGAGAAGCAACATGTATGTGCAGATACTTGCAAATATTGTGAGACATGCACGGTCTCTGATGGAAAACAAAATCTGTCACACCTGCAAGACTTTCATAGCATCTTTCATGCTCTGTGCAGAAGTACTGACAAAAGGTTTTAGTACTGTTCATGCCGTGATGGAACAGCCATGCTGGCTCTAAGTGTTTACCACAGGCTTACGCTCTGTTGTGGGAGTTTAAATCTGGTTTGTATGGATCAAGGGAATACGAGTGACACGTTGTTGTTGTTACACTCGTAACTCCTTTTCCTGTACTCATAAAATTCTTATTCTAATACCTAGGAAGTTGTTAAAGATAAGCAGATAAATCCACTGCTTAACAAAATGCATTTGACACAGGCACCAGTCCTGGCTGAACGCCCAGTTCTCGATGCCTTGTTTACACAGTGCAGGGTAGCACTTCCCAGTGTGTTTGCATCCACTCTCGTTTTTGTTGTGCTCCCTCCCACCTTGAAACCTGCACATTTTTCCAGCTGTTTTCAGTGTCTTTCAATGTCCTCCAAATTATTTTGGCAATCCTGAGCATAGTTAATTTAAGGATATGGTATGTGTTCCGGGACAGATGGTACATACTTCTGAAAAACTCCACTTCTATTTAAAAATTGAAAAAGTAATTCCAGGTCCTTTGTTAGAACTGAGTCCTCCTGTCTGTACACACAGGGGTGTATACTAGATGTTTGAGTTTCTTTAGATTTAAGATGAGTAACAAGCTGAGCTCTGACAGTATTTTTTTTTCTTATTATTTTTTAAGTGACTTCATACATGCTCAGATGACTCAGTGCTTGTGAAGGAGTTTGTGAAGGACCCTTCAGAATAGTGACTGCCGTCAGGCTATTATGTGTGCTAAGCAGACCAAATTTTATTGTGCAAATCATTTCCCTTTGTAAGCTCTGAAGTTCTCCCACCTACAAGTCACAAGTCTCTTCTGCACTGCTGCTAAATGTACAGATTTTAAATAACTAATGACTGAAGTTTCACTCTTCTCACATGCTGTGGCATGTGGCTTGCTGCTAGAACACAGCTGTGATTAAGTCTGTGATAAGCGCTCACAGGCTGCACCCTTCCATCCAGGGAAGAATTAGCCTTTTTTGAAAGATGCTTGAGTTCTGCAACTGGCATTCAAGAACTTAGAGCCAGTGGCTCCAACTGTGTAGTCGGAAGAGGAGAATGTTCCCAGGGCATCAGGCAAATTAATGATGTATGATTTAAAAAAAAAAAAAAAAAAAATCCTTCTCCAGGTTATAGACCTACTGTTTTAGGGAGATGCAACTGAAAGTAAGTTGTATTTTCTGGCCCAGACCCAAAGACTAAGCTGTCACTGCTCTTCTGAGCTTCAAAATCAACTGGCCTGAGAATTGTCCATGGAGAACTACTTCATTTAAGTAGTTCCAGAAGAGTCCTATAAGTAATACTTGGCGGTGCTTAGTAGTATTTAAGGATCTAGTTGCATATAGTCTCACTCTCGTTACGATTGTGTAGTGAAATGCCTGAACCTGGAAGCTCTGCTTTTTTCTTTTGTTGTTTTTATGTAAATTGCAAACTGTGGCGGTGAAGTATTGGCAAGCACGACTGCTTGGGTGTATGTATGACATCAAGAAGTTAGAAAAATGAATGCGGTAACCACCTTTTCCAGGAAAACCACAATGTGCTCAGAGGTAGGAAGAGGAATCACAGTTTTAACACTAAGCTTAGGAGTAAGAAGAAGTTAAAGTATGTCTTTTGCTAGCCTTCATTTCAGGGGATTGCAAAACACTTTGTTTCCCTCCAGCAGTGAGGAGAGGGACTGTTGCACAAATTGTCTAAGCAAAACTACAGCCAATAAATAAATAAATAAAGGCAGTAGATAAGCTGAATTTAGATGGCAGTTCAAACAGCTGGACTCTATCATTTTCTTACTCTGGCATGATCAGAGGGTAGCCAGCACTTTTGAAAATGCTGTTAATACATGCCAGACTCCAGGGTAAAAGCTTTGGCTCTCCCTAGGCTTTCTGCACAGAGCAGTCTTACTGAAAAGCCATACAGCTTACGTAGGACAGATTTGTGAAGTGCTAGCATCTTGGCTAAGGTGGTTAATAACATTCTTTAAAATTTGGAATTTAAAGTCTAACTTAAACTCAGCCTTCCTGTTTCTTTCTTTTCTGAAGTACTAGGTGAATTTCAGATGTTACACTGAAAATATCTCACGATTTTCAGTATTGAAGGACACTGGGAAGAAAAGACAGTATTGATGTGTTACATCTTGCTGTTGATGGTTTTTGGTTGCTTTGCTTTTTTTTAAACAAAGTCATGGAAGGAATGGTATCTTATTTTTTGTGCTTTTGACTGAACCTACATTTAATGGTAATAGTTATGTTCTGAAGTCAGATTACTTATTTATAAACCATTGCTTTATGGTTTATTCTTATTCTCTGGAGTATTGTTAGCTTTATAGAGCTGTATGAATGGTGTCATCGTAGACAGTGTCACCATAAACCTTACTCGGGGAGGAAGCTAGTAAAGAAGGCACCCAGTGCAGTCACGCTGCTCAGGCTAAAGAAACCACTTGAAAGTGATCCAGCCCCAATCTGAACAGCAGGACTTCAGAAGAAAATCACACGCCTTGGGAGTTAGTCATGTGCTCTTGTGTACTCAGTCCTCCATTCTCTTGGAGAACGGGGGCTCAGGCTGCTGGTGGGCATTGGAACTTGGCACGTCCAAGGGCACGTGTGCACACCAACCATTTTTCTTAACAAAGCTCGTGCTGTTTTCAAACACTTGGTCTTAACATAATATTAGTGTTTAATAAATTGTCTTTGTTTGCGCAAAGCTTTGCCGCAGGAAAGCTGCAGAGAATTGTCCAAAGGTAAAATTCAATATTGATATAATTACTTAAAAATGTTCCTACTGTAGTTTTCCTAATCCAATCCTTCATAGTAGCTATTTACACCAAACTATGGTGTAAATAGATTGAAAGGGAGAAAATCTGTTATCTGTTTTGCTTACGAATATAGGCAGTGTATGTGGATGTAGATATACTTGTATGCACTTGATCTTAATCGAAATGTCTTCTAGATAGTCTAAAAAAATAAGCCTCGGATAAGTGTGTATGCTGAATGAGCTAATGGAAAAAGTAATGGCAATAATGCTAACTAAACTGCTGAATAAAAATAGCATCTCTGCTTTCATAGTGCTGCTAAAGGTCAGCTGCTTAAAAGTACTGTGATTTTGAGGATATAGAACTAGAATAGTATTGTTACAAATCCTATTGGCCTCTTCAAAGTGCAAGCCTAAATATGGTTGGGGCTGGGGGTGGAATTGACTATCGCCTGTGGGTGGGAGGTTATTTTTTGGTGGTTGGACTGAAACTGTTGTTTTTTACATAGATATTCTGGTGAATAACTTCTGCCTTGTCAGAGACGGCAAATTTGTTCTGCTAGGTACATGCTGGTTGTTTCTTAAACCTTAAACCTGAGAGGTTATCAAAAATTAAAGTGCAGTCCCCGGAAACTGATCTTGTCTAGGAGTTGTTCAGCCTTGGAAACACAATATAACTGAGCCACTTCCCATACACATTCCTTTCACCAGTTCAGAGGTAGTTTCAGTATTACTAAGTTGCCAGGAAAGGGTTTGGAAGTTTTCGTTGGATCTTCTTCTCTTGAAGAATAGCAATTTTGGATGTGTTTTCAGTGTTTCTTTGGCTGTGGCTGCACAGTGAACATTTTTTAGTAAAGGATTTTTTTTTTCACTTGCCCCTTGCTGTGCATTTAAGAAAACTAACCTGGTTATATACAGAACTAGCAGACAAATGAACACATGCACTCACGTAACTAAAGACAGACGGAAGGGGTACCCATCAGCCTTCAAATGCTGTTATATACACACTGATTTAACGTGACATGAAAGGAAGGCCCTGCTTGTGCTGCTTTTCTTCGTGAAAAATGGGGTGAAAGACATATAGCAGACTGGGGGTAGCAGAAAATGTTTGGTGATGATAATGCATTAACTGCTGAAGAAGTGTTAACATGTTAATCTCTTTCTTTCTTTCTCCCCAGAAAGAATTGACAGATGCCTATGCAAAATACCACATACTATGCCTTTTCTTTGTGGCAGCCATAGCCTTCATCGGCATACAGTGGCTCTTCAGCTACCACTGCTGGCTAGTTGGCAAAAACAGATCAACAATAGGTCAGTTAATTGGAGTACAGAACTGTTCCTTGTCCAGAAAAACAAGTTGCTGATAACGGGAGGATAAACTTTCACTTTAAGATTCTGTACAGCAAGAAGAATTCTTGGTGAAAGCAAAAAAGGTCAAACCTTGTCTTGTGTTTCCTAGTGTAGTAGATACTCTGCTGGAGATAAGTGTGGAGATTCATGATGAATGTCAAATTTTTGGTTTTATATGTATTTTGAGACTAATGAGGCGTATTTTTGTTGTGGTTTTTATATAGTGTCAAGTAATCTAACAGAATTGCTATTTGCTGGTTACCCTGTTGTTACAATACTTGGAGTAGCTCGGTGGCCCCATCTGAGGTGAGGGTTGTCCTGTGTATGAATATAATAATACATTTTGCTCCAAATCTGAAAGAATATTCTTAAAATCCTGTGAGAGAAGGTGGACCTTGGTATTAGGAAGTGACTTTTAAAAGCACTGCAAGAAAAATGGAAACACTGATGCATGTTTCTGAAGTAATAAAAGAGTACGGATTGCAGGTAATTTCTGTGCCTAAACATTCTAAATGTCATTGATTGGTGTAAGGAAGTTACTTGCATTAGTTAAAGTATCTAAGTTCCTGCTGAAGCATTTTTAAAGTGTTTTTTTGTTTGTTTGTTTTTTGTTTTTAAGGGCTCTGGTGGTTATTGCCACAACTAAAGTCAAGGTGTTCTACTTCTTGTTGGAAGTTAAATTTCAGTCCCCAAAAGTAAATGAGTTAATGGAAAGAGATTACTACTTCCTGCTTGCTAGAATTTTTCAGTGGACAAAAAGGAGTTTTTTAGTTGCTTGACAGGAGGGCCAAGTCATTTTCCTTCTATGTATCTACAGCTAAGGAACATTCACAGTATCTTTCTTAGCTTTGAAAACAAAATTAGCACATTCCTTGCCCAAAAGTCATTGTTGGTCATTGACTGCACAATCAATATTTACTTTCTGGTTCATGATTGTGAAAAGACAAGGTGTTGGTATGGAGAGAGGAATGAGTCCCCTTGGTTCTTGGCCAAATGTGTAACCTGTCTGACTAGGTAAATAGTAGGTTGGTCAAGTTTAGGTGGTTTGTTGTACCTCATGGTGTCTGTTTCTCTGATGTAATAGATCTCATCTTTCTCTGATACTGTGGTATGCTCTTAGTTTGACTTCAGCCCTGGGCAGAGTGGGAAAAACCTGTCCTGTATGAATTTAGGTACAGTAATGCCCAATGGTAAATTGCTAATTTGTGCAGAAGAGATCGTCTGCTCACAGACATGCACAGGCCAAAGAGAGAGAGCCGTCAGTGAAGTAAGGATGTGTTATCTTCAGCATGCTGATGGTAATTTGCTTTGCCTCAGACCTTAAGTTAAATGTAAAGAGAGAAAGATGATTGATCTTACGAGAACTTTAATGCTTAGATTTTTTAATGCTTTTTTATTACTTCAGGTGACAATCATTTTTCCCCCATAATACATATCAAGATAGTCTTAACTTTCCTGAGACTCTGACAGTAGAGAAGTCTGAGTCTGTTTTTTTGTGTGTTTTTTTTTTTTTTCTGACTGCTTATTGCTCTAAAGTTGCATGTTTTTCTTTTCCAGAATCACACCGTGCACCCATGTTTCGAAATGGACCTGATGAAAACGGCTTTTCGCTTGGATATGGCAAAAATCTAAGGGAGGTTTTTGGAGATGAAAAGAAGTATTGGCTGCTCCCTATTTTTACCAGGTGTGTGGTCTGACTTGAAATGAATTAGGGAATAAATTGATTGATTAATTTGCATCTTGCTTCCCTTTCTCTGAAAAAAATGAAGCACAATTGGAAAGCTGATTTGGAAATCTTATGTGATTGGCATGAGGAAAATCTGGAGGAGAAAACTAGGAAGACTCTGCACAGGGTTTTCATTTAGCAATGAGAGCCTCCTTTACAAGGGCCTTCTAAATACAGAAGTTTGGAAAGATTTATGAATTGTATTTCAAAAATTCTACGCCTTTTGGTTGGTACTGTTAGTGCCTGGTTACAAAGCAGAAATCAATGGTACAGGGGAGATACAAATGCTCTTTGAATTTGAGCTGCACTGAAACAACATCAGTTTTAAAAACACCCCCTCTTATTCCCAACAAACTTGACAGCTTTTCTTTTGCTGTACATGACATTTTCATTAAAAGCCTTCTGAGGAAATGAATGTAAATAAGCAGCAGGAGAAAAAAATGTTGATATGTTGGAAAATTGCAGTTTTAAAACTTGATCTGAACTGGTGTTAGAAGTTGCAGACGAATGTCTGAGAAGCTCAGTAAAGTAAGACCGACGTGTTGCTCTCTCCAACCACTCCAGAAAATCAGCAGAACAAAGTAGGTGCCATTTTTCAGCACTGCTTTTGGAGGCTTGTGTATCAGCTTAAAATGTGGGTGAAGCTTTTTGCCAAACTGAGGTCTGGAAAAAAAACAGCAGGGGTAATAACAAGATCTAAAGTTGCCTGAGCCATTTGCTCAATTGACATGACTTTTCACGTGATTTTTAAAAAAAAAAAAAAGGTGGAAGATATATTACAGATGGGTATTTTCCCTGAATGACTGAATTTGCTTCAAAAGAAGGCTTAGCTGATCTCAGTGATGGGAGGAAGAAAAAAGGATGACCACCAGAATATTGTTTGTGCTTCTGGGATTATAAACACTGGATAGTCTGACTACCTGTGCCCAGTGGTTTGGGAGAAGCCAGGGCTACATTCTAGAGAAACACGATGTTGTTTCTGAAATATGTAGGCAAGTGCTGTGCTCAGCAGCCCACACTGAGCGGTAGGGTGGGAATTGTTTGAGCTCCAAAGCTTAATTAACTGGTTATGGGGTTTAGTGGTAGGAATGCCTTGCTCAAGTTTGGAGTTCAACATTGCACTTAATAATTGATTCCAGCCTGTCAACTGCAAACAGTGATTTGAATCTTTGTTTCTGGTTTAGTTTGGGCGATGGGTGTAATTTTCCAACTCGTTTGGTGATTATGGATCCAGAGAGAGTAACTGTCTCAACCCAAACTGAACCTGCCAAAAGGTAACTATTGCACTTAAGTTGTACTGTGCCATAATTCATCTGTTTAAGAAAAAATGTTTCAAAAATTTTTGTTTTAATTTTTAATCTTATTATCAGGTTCAAAGTGAATTTGTAAGCCTTCAGAGAAGGATAGGGTAAATCAAATCTAATAAATGTGATGCTGCTTGATACAGAAGGGCTATTTCTGGTTTTAGACTTCTAAGAGGATGTGGCTCTAAGGAAACAGAACAGTAGTGAAAGTAAAAGACTTTACAGGCTCTTTTAACAAGAAGAAAAAAAGTCCTAGGGAAGAATGAAGTATTTTTTTCCATGGAGCATTATTAAGATATGTTTTTTGAATGAAATAATGGGTAAATACCACTTGCATTTCACTTCCTCCAGCATGCCTAAGCAAGGGATGCTGAGTCACAGTTTGCATGAGAGGCAAATAATGTGGCTATTGCTGGGTTGGAGCAGTGGAGTTCTGCTAGGTTGTTACATTTTAAACCTCCAAATTTGCATGGCTTGTATTTTCAGGAAGCTTGCTTCAGATTCAAGGACACATGAGTACATGAAACTTCTGAGGACGTTTACGTAATTTTGGAAGGCTTCTGTGTTTGGTGAATGGCTGAAGGTTGTTGTCAACAGCAGCCACATGAGTTATCAGGCAGCAAGGGGTGCAAAGGCAAGACTGAGAAGTTGCTTCCAGTACCACGCAAGCTGTGGAATTTACACAAGAGCAGTACCCTTGTGCAAACAGCAGAGTAGCCTTTTGCATTAAGATGTTCAGCAGCACACCCTAGCTTTTAGTCATGGAATACAACATCAAGTTGTTCTTCCAGATAGTGCTGGTTAGGTTTTCTTTGTAACTGTGTGGCAGTAACATTGTTGTCAGCATGCCATTTCTTGCCTATCAATCTAGAAATGTCTGAAATAAGCAACTCTTGCAATTACAGAATTCCTGTTGACTTTGCTTGCTTTTCAGCTCTGGAGCCAGTCAGCCCTTTCCTCCTCAACCACTCAGTGAATCACAAGTTCGATTGCTAGCCAGTGACGATCAATGGGTAGAAATTGACCCTGAAGAGGAAAACGTTAAATAAGGTAGACTGCACCATAACATTTCTGATTACTCTGTCATTTTGTTCATGGTGGGTGGGGTGTTTGGTTTATTGTGTTTGTTTTGTTTTGTGGGTGTTTTTTTTTTTTGGTTTGGTTTGGTTTGTTCTTTTTTAAGTCTAAGAAGTCCTTAGGAATTGGTTGGAGTCAAATAGAGGACAACATGTTACATATAATCCAGTCGGCGTGTTTATAAGTTGAGGTTAACTTGTGTCTCTGGCTTTCTAGCTCCCTCTTCTGAGACATTTTGGATTGATTATATTTGATTAAGGGGGAGGAAAATATTTATCTGAAATAGGTACAACATGATAAGCATGGTTTCTGGTTTGGAGTCTTTGGTACTTGCTGTGCAAATCTGGAAAAAAAAACAACAAAAAAACACACAATTGAGATTTTCTCATATTTTAGGTACAAAAAAGCATCTTATAGTTTCATTGGAAAGCTGATCTCAGCTTATTACTAACCAACCATCTCAATGAGAAACAGGTAAGACTAACATCATTGATTGCTATTTCGTTATACATGTGAGTAAACTAAAATAGACATCTTGAGGTTAAAAGTCACTAGTCATGGAGTGCAGAGAAGCCCTCTGATGTTGGATGAGTCATAGGAAAGTCTGCATAAAGCTCAGAATGGCTCTCCAGAAGACGAGAATGGGAGTAATGCTGTACTGTAGGAAACATTAGTTGGCTAGATCTAAGATGAGTTGGCCTAATCCTGTCATTTACATTGAAGTGTGTAATGCTGCATTTGTTACCTGACCACAGAAAAGAATCTCATCTGTTAAACAGGCAATTTCAATATGGAAGTCTTGATACTCTCTCAAGTAATAGCCCCTTAACTATATTGTTTTTGTATATTGGTTTACCATGCTCTGTTCTTGTACTTCAAGAAAGTGCGTGCACAAGGAATGAAGGTGTCGGTAACTATAGGTGTCTACATCTGGGCTGCTTTGTGTCACTTGTGACACATCGACACGTTAACAGTGATTTTCTTTTGTGTAAGAGCTTCTGTGCACACTGCACACTTTGCACTAGGGAAATGTAGCAAATGCTGCTGCTTGCCTTGGTGTATTTCCAGTGACTGAATTCAATTTCTCTTTTTTATGTTGACTTCATGCTGCAGTGAGTTTATAAACTCCTATTAAATTTTATTTCTAGAAGAGGAACAGATCTGATTTGGACAGCTAGCAACCATAGATGCTGAGGGCTAAGTTGTTATCCTCCACCTCCCTTTGTTTCTTTTAAAGAGTTGTAGAAGGGCCTGCATGAGGAAATCTGTATTGCCTCTTTGTGACCCATGACACAGAAGTGCAGCAAAAGCTGGAAACAAAGGGAACTTACAAGGAAGTGCCATTTTCTTTGAAGAGAAAACAGTCTTTAAGTTTTTAAAGCTTAAATTTTAGGATCATCTTTTTCTTTTTTTTTTTTTTTAAATTAAGAAATAGTCTATCTAAAAGTCTTCACGAGGGATAACTAAAATTAGTTAGTAGTACTTTTCTTGACACTTTGTATAAATGTTCAAATGAGTCCCTTAGTAAGGGATTCCTTTCAGCCTCTAGCTATATAAAATATAATGTGATCTAAACAGTTTATTCAGTCCTTTCCTTTCTATGAAAAGTAGAATAGATACTTTCTGAGATCAGTTCATGCCAGCAGTCTTTGACAGGGTATTATAGAATGTACTTAATCCCTCTGTCCACTGACCTAGAGAGGGAGCATGACTGACAGCTTAGACCAGATTATTAACTGGTAATAGTTTGGTGTGACTTCCCTTTCCATGCTCCCTCTCATCCTAAAGTCAGACAAATGTAATGAAGGAAGATGGTGTGCAGTGTATTCCACTTCCCCAAGCTGCATAGACTTAAAAGTTTTATAATTAAATGAGTCACAGTCACACCCAACACAAAGCGTTTTGGTACGTGTTATCTCAAGGAATACTTCACTCAGTACCACAGGGTTTCAGCTGTTCTGAGTCTAGTTGGATCTGATTGGTTTCTGATCGCCTAGCTTGTTAATTCCAGTCCCCTAGAATTGGAAGGCAGCCATGCAATAGCTGTGAGATCCAAAATATCTATTCCATGCGCTTTGCTATGCCTTGTAGCAAACTGATAGCTGTATTTTCATTTTTTCATTTTTATGCCTGTGCATGCAGTAGAAGCAATCGAATTTATGGCTTGAGTTCAGTATAATTCCCACATCCATTGTACAGAAAAGAAGAGAAATCTGCCAGCCAGCAGTCCCCAGACTCACCTAGACACAAATTGTATAATTTGTGTCTCCAGATGTGTCAATTTAATTAAAAATGAATGAGCAATTCTTGCCAACCAGACATCCAAGAGGCTTTAGTCACGGGTCAATGGTGATGGATTTGACGTTCTTAGTGGAGATAATCTTATAAAACATAAGAGGTTTAAAAGAAGAAGGGAGAAAAAAAAAAAAAAAGAGAAAGGAAAAAAAAAACACCTCCCAGAAGGCTAATCATGAGTTGAAGTTATCTTAGCTGCAAGTCTCAGTCAGGAGGCAGTAAAATACCTGTGTTATCTAGATACTCCTGTAATGCAGTATGATTTGTGTGGTTTTTTCAAAGCTAATGGTGCAATTCCACTAATGAGTTTTTGTTTTGTTTTGTTAGGTTTCTGCAACATATTTTGTGCTTGAATATTACTTAATTTTGTTTGGAAGAAGTTGATCAGTAAAAAAATGGAACACGAACATTTTAGGAAGAGACAAGAAATTCAAGTTTCTGCACAGTCCAAGGGATTCTTGTAAGCACTATTGCAGAGCAGGGAAGTTAAGACATGCCTTAAGATTCTTAACGTGCATTTATGCAGCACTGAATTATATATATACTGCTACCAAAGGGCCAAATCCTGAAGTGCCCTGCTTGGATGCACAAGGTCCAGAGTGGGAACTATGCATTTCTGTTATGCTGCGGTGGTGGGGGTAGATCTGCAAGGACTCCTACCTCCTCACAGGCAAACTTTACACCTTAGGCACTGCAGAAGCCACTTCCATAGCAGGTTCTGCAGAGAACAGAAAGAAAGAAGAAAAAAATAAAAATAAAGAAGAGGGGGAGGGATTGGATTGTGGGGATTGACATAGAGTGTGGCTGATGAGTCTAAAGTGCAACTGTCCATAGCACAACACCAGGTTTTATTGAAAGGAAGGGACTGGGTGATAATGGTTGTAGCTCTCCAAGTATGTCAGGACTGAGGATTCCTTCCACTGGCTGTGCTATGGAACAAGGCAATGCCAACAAAGCAAAAGCCTTTTACTTGGTGTTGCTTTTTTGCTATAGAATTGAGCCCCCTCATCCTTTTAACTTGATTTATTTAACCATATCAAGAGCATAGCTCAAAGTGAACTGTCTTTTAGCTGCAAGTACATGGATTATTACTTTTCAACAATTGCCTCTCAGCACACAAAGAAAAGCCAACCCAAGAAGAAATGAACGAACTGTTACATTTTCTGTTAATGTCCACAGTGTTCCCTATGAGGCAGTAACAAAACGGCAAAGTACCCCTGAGAAAAGGGTTAGTGCAGTTGTGTGTTGTTAGCAAATGGAACTGGAAGAGTACTGCTTTTTATATGGGACTCTTGATGGTTTATAAATACTGTTTTATACTTTTGTTTTGTCTTTTTAATGTAGGCACAAGTTTTTATTGGTTTATATTCTAAAGTACAAGTTCTAAAGTTACAAGTTTATATTCTAAAGTACCATTTAAACAAATTTCAATAGTTATGAGAAAATTAGCATTAGCACTTGTGTTACCACACCAAAACTTTGTTGACACAGAAGTAATGTTGAATATTGTTGACACAGAAGTAATGGTCCAAACTTCGCATGTTATGTTCAGATGTTGCAAAATGTGTCTTCAAACTTTGTATGATAAATTTTGCATTTGCTAATTTTCAAAATTAAAAAACGTTTGCTATGCATTAATCTGGAAGATTTAGCTATTTTTTTCCTCAAGTGTCAAGTGCAAAGTGCTCATCTGAGTATCAGCTTTCAGCAATACTGACATGTTGAGCTCACAAAGAGAGAATGCATCAGCAGAATTTCTTGGGAAGAGAACAGAGACAAAAGACAGTGAGCTCAAATTGCTCGCTCTAAATACCAAAATGTGCAGCCCCAAACACTGGTGGAATTGTAATTGAGGGCCCTGGATATAATCTCTTCTTCTGGATCAGTGTATTACAGCAGAGATAAATACATGCATAGTCATTCCCTAGCAGAATTAGAAGCAAAATCTCTCTGATGTGGTAAACCTCACAGATCCAGCAGTATAGCCACTGTCCTCTCCCAGCCCCCCGAAGTGCTCCATATGTATTCATATGAATGCATGTATACTGTAGGCTAACATCTATATAACTTGTTTGATTTCTTCAGCCAGGGTAGTTAATCTACAGGGAAAAAAAAAATGCAGGTAAGCAGGCTGGGCTAAATCCATGTGTGTTCTGTAGCAAATTGGTTCATATTTTGGTGGCGTTTCTTCAAGAGCTGATGGTTCTGACATCTTGATGCGAATACAAAATACATTTTGTCCCAGATTTCTCTCACGTTTCCAATGGCAAAAGTAGGACAGCAATGTGCTTGGGATACTCTGGAGGCCGGACTTACTGTTGGTGGAAAAGCAGATTACTGAGAAGTCACTTGAAAAACATAAAATGTAGTAAAATGGTTCAAATGTGATCTTTCCAAATGCACACCCTTCCCTCCCCCCTCATTTTTTTTAATACCAAATTATATTGGTGAACTGTTTTTAGGGTTCCCCAGTGAGGGGGATGGTGAACACAGGTTTTCCTTGCAAGCACTGGCCAGGGAGGAGGCAATGCTAAGGTAAGACAGTGGCTTCACTTGTGTCTTTGAGTTCCTGTCCTGCCAGCTCCCTAGCACAAGCAAGGGCTCTCAGTGCTGTATCTGAGCAGCACAGATGCTGACAGGCGAAAAAAGGAGCAAGCCAGGAACTAAAACCAACTTTGGTGTAAAGAACAAAAGCTGCTGGGCTGCTGAGTTGCCAGCAGACACGCGTGTCGCTGCTAGCAGAGGAAGGGGTCTGTAGGAGCTCACCACAAAATGGGGCTTTTTGGCTCACATCCATGCACTGAGCTGCTGCACACTTCCAGGAGAGGAGGGGGAAGGGAAGATGGATCCTAAGAACAAAAACGGTTTAGGGTGCTGGGTTGTGTTGTACATGCTGGTTCTATGCTACATGTCAGCAAGTCCTAGAAATAACTTACGTTCATCGCTAAAAATAACAGCACTTAAGCTTTCAGGTCCCTCAAAATAATTTTAGAAACCTCAGCTATATTTTTTTCCCAGACAATTGGTTTATTTACAACTGTAAAGATGCACATAATTGCTGTTCCTACCAAAGGCATATGATGGGAAGAGGGCAGGACCATGTATCGGTTTCTCTAATAACTGACAAGTTAGATGTACCATAAATGTTTGATTGAAAACTTCCACTTCCAAAACTTTCAAATATTCAGAGGCTTATTTAGAAGGACTCCTGACTTTCTATTTTTAGTGATTTGAGTAGAAATCGTGGTAACGTTTTTGTTAAACCTACCCTTTGAACATGTAATGCAGAAGTACCAAGCTTCTTTTTGGTATGCTATCTAGAAACCAGGCGTGTTTTCTAGAGTTTAAATGCCTACATTTTTCAGGTAGTTTCTTCCCTCATTTGATCTTGTTGCTTTCTATCTTCTAAATTAATTTTGGAGAGTTTTGGAAGTTTTCGTTAAGTTCAGTGCTATTCAGTATCCGCTCATGCTGTAGTTTGAAGTTCGTCCAGTTGTAGCTCACCAGAGCCCCATGAGGAGGAAAAAAAAAAAAGGCAGGATTTGTAGCAGGATTAATGTCTGTGGCAGATGTACCAAGAGAAGCATCGACTCTAACAAAACAGATCTGCCTAGATCTGGAGCACTGACTGATCATATTTATTAAAAAAAATAAATAAATAAATCCTTTGAGCTTCATGGTATGTGTTCTTTGAGGATGCTGGCTAAAGTCATGTGTAATTGAGGGATTCAGGTATATATTTAAAGAGGTTCCAAGGAGCTACTTTAAGTGTAAATGCAGATCAAGAATACATTTTTCATAGTACATCAAACAAATTAAATGAAATAGCTGGGTATGCAACATAAGAGGATCTTCTCTCCCTAAATGGCACCAAAGAGAGCAGCTGCATATAATGTTATTATAATACTGAACACATTTACTACACTCATTCTATCAATTTATTTTGTATATATAGACAGTTTTTATACGCATTTTTCTTAATTACATAACTGTCACAAAATGTAATGAAAACTGCAAGTTGTAGTTAGTGCTAATGCTGATTTAAACTGGTGTTTGGCTGTTTGTTTTGCAGCAATTACTTGAACCTTGTTTCCATTACATTGCTAAGTCTGATGTTTACAAAACTGCTTTTGTTGGTTTTTTGGAGTATCCCCACCTTTCCTTCCCCTTGCCCTGCCACAAGAAATAGAGAGCACATGCTTAGCAGTCAAGCACATGCGTTGGGGATGAAGTATCCACTTTTATTGGCACCAAAGTGTTAATGGTGACATGCGGATTCCCTTCTGTTTACATTATTTAGCTGACAAATTAAATGCTTAGCGTGTTTCTCTCTCATTTCTCCTGTCCCCTAACCTGTTGCTGTCAGCTTTGTTGTGAGAAACTTAAATCTTTCTGAACTGCAAGTATTTAAGACCATAAAAGACATCACAGAAAAAAGAAGCACTAGTCCTGTTGTTGTTAAAGCGTTCAGCCTGTCCCCTCACCCTCTTTTTAAACTTACCTGAATTAAACACCCCTGGGTTCTCACTGCACTTCCTTTTGTATTTGCCAGCAAGGGTTATCAACAGTTGCACTAAGACAATGTCCTCGCTGTTCTACTTCCACAGGTATTTTTAATTGTGCTGCCTAAACCTGTAATGAATTGTATTTAAGTTTCAGGTTAAATGTAAGATACATGTAATGACACAGTTATTATATTTTTTGTATGTTGCAGATAGGACTAGTCCTATGCACAGAGAAAACAAACATGTTGCCATTTATAGTTTAATACTTGAAGTAACTTTTTAAAATGGGCTTTTATAATGAATTACATACAAAATCACATTACTTTGCCTGGAAGTTCCTTCATCTTTTAATTGCATTGTGCAATTTGCCCATATGTATATTTTTCCATATGTTATCTCAAGCCGTTTATAACCATTAGAAAGCACATTTGAGACTTTGAACACATCAGTGTTGAACCTGTTCATCCTTCTCTGAAATGTAATTCATGTTTAAATACAAAGTTGTACTATTTTAGGCCTATTTTCAAAAGTGAAAAATATTAATGTATTTGACACATCAGTGAATGCAACATTGACTTAATAAAACTATGTGAAATAATCTGAAAATGGCATGTGTGTATTAGATCAGCAAGAACTGCCACGTATCTGGGAACATACCTGTAACTGGTGATGGAAATGACTTTTACACTCCAGCTGAACAACCTAAGATTACACTCACTCCTGACACATGTTCCAGGTCACTTGGTTTTGACAGGAAAAATAAAGAAAACTTAGCTTGTGGCTGATAATATTCCTTCAGGACACGAAACAGTATGTAGAAATCAGGTTGCTGATCAACAGCAGTTCATCAGAATCAGATCAGAATAGTTTTCTAAGTGAGGGTAATTAAGACTTAATCTGACAGTGCCATAATGATAATACTGCTATTTAAATTCAACAATTAGAATCATGGAATTATAGAATCATTTAGGTTGGAAAAGACCTCTAAGACCATCAAGTCCAACCACATTCTTTCCAGAAAGTTTTAAAAATGGCCCACTTTATAGTCTTCTATTAGCTGCAGCTTCATCTAGCTCTAACTTCCTAACTCTGGTTCATCTTGATCCTCACATGCCTGATGGGAGATAGTTCATTAAGTAGATTCAGTTGTGTCTCAAGTATGGTATTATACAGAAGTTGCCCTTCAGAAGGAGAGAGACCAGTAGCAGCCATCTGGTCTGTACAAGCAAATAATCCTTTGACACAGCCTGTGTGTTCTAGCTTTCAAAAAAGTGAGGCTACAGAGATAGTTTAAGTCACTGCTCCAGTTGGTAACTTTTTTTGCAAAAGCCCTGAAGCCACAGAAGGACTATATTCTTCTACAAAGAACAATAAGAAAACAAAATACTGTTCTGTATGATTACTTTTAATGTAAGATTTTTGTACACCATACCAAATTGTCACTTATCTGCCCATATTACACTGTATTACAAAGTTACCGTAACAGGTACAACAGCATATTTCGTGGCAGTGCACAACAGCTGCCACATACAAGTCCAGCCTGTTATTCAAGATGTCCATTTCTTTGAGACATTCAAGTGGTTCAAGTGATCGCTCATATATCTATGCTCGGGGAACTTAGATGTCAAGGAGCTTTTGAGAGCTTCCCATTTTGCACGTCTCCCTTCTTTGTTATGATTGTATTCTTGTTCCTGTGTCAGGTAAGGTCGACTCAGCCAGTACTCGTTCTCTGCTTCAGTTTCCAACCTTCGGATCATTGCCTGCTTCATCGAAAGGGTGACCACTCTTGGTTGCCTGTATTTTCCAATCCATTGTTTTCCAGGAATTCTCTTCCGGAGCAATACTGTTGTTAAAAACATGGTACCTTGAAATACAAACAACAAACATGAAACGCCCATTACCTTAGGGACAAAAATAAAGTTAACAAGAAAAATGACAAACATACATGTATTTATTACACTGCCTTTTAGCTAGATGTTAAAAAAAAAAATTACAATTCAGATCCCTGTACATGCAAACAGCCACTACGTACAGTAGACAGTACAATGACAGATATGCTGGAAACAAGATCAGAAAAGGAAAAGTGATTTTTTTTTTATTTAACGGGAGAGTTTATTCAGTTATCCTAAGGAATACAGGTACTATTAGGATGTTAAATTTTGATATTTAACATAATTTCCTCTGTAAATTATTCCTGAAAAACAAACAAACACCACAGCCAAATACTGTTAAAGAAAGGATTAAAGAAAGGATTGACTTCATCCCTTAACGCCACAAGCAGATATCTGCACTGTTAAAATAGCGAATGTCCAGGTCCATCTTCCGGATCTCCCTTTTTATCACGTAATACGTTCGTTATGCCGTACGTTCCTCAGCATTATCACATGGCCTCTCCATAAACTTACTAAGACAATACCCTTGTTTTGGAGCTGGGGAAAACCAACTCTGCAGATAAAGCCAAAGCCCTGCGTTACACCAACCAGCAGAAACACAGCGCGCAAACACCGCTTCAGACCTCACCCCCGGGGTGGGACAGAGGCAGAAAAGCCCAAGCCAAGCCCAGCCGCGACACGCACGCTCCTCGTTAGCCCTGGCTGTGCCCAACCCCGCCGTGTGGTCACCCCGGGCCGCCTGAGGAGAGCCCCGGCCCCGCTCCCCGCTCCCCGCTCACCCCTCGGGCACGGCCCCGGCCCCGGCCCGGCCCGGCGGCCCCCACAAGATGGCGGCGCTGCGGGGCGCGGCTCGCGAGAGCTGGCGGCGGCCGGGCGGGGCCTGGCGGCGCCAATGGCGCGCGCGGGCGGGGGTTTGAAGGCAGCGGCCGGTAACGGCTGGAACGGGTCAGCGGCCATGGCGCCCCCGGCTCCTCTCAGCGAAACACGAGCGTGTCCGGGGAGTTCTTCGGCAAGCTGCGCGCCTGGCGCTCACGCTGGAGAGGGAGGCGAGGCAGCTGGAGCGGGCTCTGCGCCGGGAGGATGAGGATGAGGGTGAGTGCGTGAGGCGGGATGAGAGCGGCGCAGGGCAATGGGGGCTGCGGTCAGTGCCTGGCGCTTCGTCCCCGCCGCTCCCTCAGGGTCCCTCTCTGCCCCTGCTCCCCGTGGGGTCCCTCCCATGGATGCCGTCCTTCCCGAACTGAGCCTGCGGGGGCTGCCCACAGGCTGCAGCTCTTCAGGAACTGCTCCCACACGGCTCCGTCCCACGGGGTCCATCCCCCAGGAGCAAACTGCTCCAGCACGGGTCCCCCACGGTGGGGAGTCCCCCCACCCTGCTCCGGGGGCATGGGCGCAGCCCCCCAGGCCAATCCACCTGCTCCAGCGGGGGCTCCTCCACCATGGGGGGCTGCAGCGTGGAGATCTGCTCCATGGGGGACCCATGGGTGCAGGGGACAGCAATCACACACACACGGCTGTCTGACGTTGCCAGGCACTGATGGCTGACCAGCTTCTGCCCGCTAGGGACGCACAGGTGCTCTCATGCCCCTCAGGGACCCACTCACCTCTGCTGACCTCAGTCCCTTACCGGCTGGTCCAGCCCGAGCTTCATCACAGGCACTCACCCCAGGAGCTGACCACATGGACACCCTGGCACTCCCACCTGTGGTCTCACCCAGCTGCTGTTCTCACGCCCATATACGCACACAGCATAGAGAGCCCTCACCCAGCAAAGACATTAGAAAGGAACTTAATAAGAACACAGAATTGACTTTGCAACCAGGGCAGGGCACAACTAGATGAGAGTACCAACCACCTAACCATTTACAAGCGACAAGCCCTTTTATCCTCTTACCCACCTATTTTCCCATTCTTATTCCTCCCCAGATCACCACTCCCTTCTCACTCCTCTCCCCAGCTGTTGTTGTATAGTTGTTTTTTTCCACTTAAATCTGCGCTCCAGGGGCACAAACAACATTGCATATTGGCTTAGCTCTGCCCCCCCCTTCCCTACCATCATCTTGAGCACTTTTGTGGGTGTGCAGTGACTTTATTACACAACATACATAAATCAAATTTGAGTCTGTATGATAAAACAGGAATCACGTTCTTGCTTTTACCCTTTTAATAGCTCAAGACAGGAAAACACATTTCAGGGCTTGTTCTCTGTCTGAACAAATAGTCAAGGCTCTAATTAAATTTATCACTCTGCTATGTCTTGTCACACAGCAGGTGTCCTCTTCTGTGCTATTTATTTGCTGTTAATCTTAATTTCCAGTGAAAGAAGTAATATCAGCTTTGACTGCTGCCTACTTAAGTGTATACTAAGACCTGTCTGCATATAAATAAGGCAGAAGAAAGCAGCTTTTTGTTTGTCTATTTGTTAGTGTATCCAGATTATTTTATAATTATTATTTCAAAATCAAGCTCTGTAAGGATGAAAATTTAGCAAAATAATGCTTTGCCTCCACGGACCCTACCTACTGCAGTGATGTCTGCTACAGGTAATTTTTTACAATATTAGCTGCGACTCTAAAATAGAAGCCTGTGCGGTTTCTCTGTGTAATTCAACGTACTGTGCAAACTGCAGTCTCGTGCAGTGCAAGGAGTCAGTTATAACACCGTATGAACTGTTTATCTTCATTTCTGTCTCGATTCTTTCTCTAAGACAGGTCTCTAACGTAGATTACATTCTGATGTACAATGTATCATGCTAAAAAAATACTACCCTGCTTTTTTCATTTCAAAACCCTTTTATGTGAACATTATATCAAAGACTACGAAGAAGAATCTCCAATAGAGTCTGCAGGACCTGCACGGAGAAATCAGGACTCTGAAGGTAATGACTTAACTCACTGCCTTCTTGAAAAAACATGGGGAGGTGTCCATAAACTGATGACTCATTTTGATCCTTAAGCCACAATGCAACTCTTATTCAGCAATGACCCTTATTTTTATTCGTTTACCTCTAAGTCCTCATAATGGCTGTGGAAATACAAGGCAGCATCCAAGAATTATGTGTGATTTAGAGCAGTTCATGAGTTTGCAGTTGCTGTCATCAGTTGGGTCAGCAGGGGGCAAAGTGAATGGAGAAGCTGTAGCTAGCCACACCAGGGCATAGCTATGGGGGTTCAGGAGCTCCCTTGGGAAGAGGCATACCTGTTTTTGTTCAATGGCTAGCATTTGGAATAAACGAAGTCTTCCCAGGACAGTCTGCACTTTCCAGCTGTTCAGTTAAACTTGTGGAGAATGTTCTTCGTTTATTTAATAGAAGTAGAAAAATAGGCTTTAGAAACGGACATGTGTGCAAGTAACTGGGAGGTAAGTTACGCTGTAAACTCTGTTTACCAGCTGTTTTGCCCTACATCCTTTGTGTGTGGAAGTTAATGTCCGAAACTGATTGTTATGTAATTTTACTCCTATTTTTAATGGAACAAACACGTTTCTGTTTGATGGGTTACTGGGAAGTAATTGTTATACCGTGAACTGTCACCTTAATTTAATATTTGTATGTTTTTTTACACTTAATGCTCTGTATATTCCTGATGTTTTCTAGCCTAGTTTTTGGGTATAAGAAAGACCTAAACATGTTGCTTATCCTCATCTGAATTGAAGTTCACTAATTGTTCCCAAAATGCTTAATGTGTTTAAAAAAAAAAAAAAAAAAAAAGCGGTGATTTGAAAAATAATATTGTTACATTTCTCCTTTCCTCCTCCACTAAAGGAAGATATTAATGCCAGTCTTGGCAAGAGTCGTTCTGAAAGGCAAGAAATTAATGACTTTATGAAGGCAAGTGAAATATTGATGCAAAGAAATGCAGCAGATCTGGGAATAATAAGAGAGCTGTTCCAGAAATATGGCTACAAACCACGTGTCAAAGTCTCTACAGGTAATATTTTCTGCAATAAAATGTGTGAACACAAATGTAACTTTCTTAAAAGGTTTCTCGTTTCCTAAGGGTATGTTTTTGTTAATTAAGAGGTCAAGTATCTGTTATTTGCTTTACAATACCCTGAAGGTAAAAGGTTCTGTTGTGATTGGTGCCCAAAGAATAAATTAAACTCCAAAAGCTCAGTCTGCTCTCCTGACCTGCTTTTAAGTTAGCATTTCTCTTCATTAATGGCTATACTGAGAAAATGTGTTAGCAAACATACTCTCATAACCTGGAGAGCTCTGCTGCTTCAGCTTCTCATGCTTGAGAAACTGCTGTAGATGCATCTAAATTAGTTCATATTCATATGTGGTTACTTCATTAGCTTAAATCACCGTAGAGAAAAATCTTAAATTAATGCACTGCGTAGCACAAGTGGGATGAGAGAAGCACATACAGGGTTTAGGTGATACATAATAGTCTATGAAGCAGTAGTAGTTTGATCACTGGATTGAAGATGCTTCATCCAGTCAGAAACTGCATGCACACCTGTGTGAAAAATCCAGCTGTACAAAATGAGTTTAAAATAATAGCACGGTGTGTACCACACACATTCCTTTCTGCATCAAGGACCCAATCAGTCTTCCAGATGCCTTTGGCAAGGTGCACCTGAACCTTCTCCTGAGTGTTATCCAGTAACTACAAAAAACACCATTGTGGTCGTGGACCATATTCACCCAGAGCTAAACTATTAAGCATTTTACAAAGCTACTGCAAAAGGTTCTAATTTTATAGCGGCTTACTTCCCTTTCTCTCTATGCCTTTACTGAGGGCTTCAAATACAGCTACAAGGTTAATTTATTTTAAGACGCATCTTTTAACTAAGTGTATTTGCACATGTAATCCCAGTACACATGCAGAGGTAATACTTCTGCCATATTATTTTAAATATTTTCCCCTGCTTCTTATGGCATGCAGAAATCACAAATCCTTCGGGCGTTTCGGGTTATAGAGCTACAGAAACATACAAGTTACAGCTTTGTTTGTTTCTGCAGTGGACTCTTCTTGTTACCTAAAAAAATAATCTTTTGTGAGTTTTTAGTTACTGCTTAGTAACCTTTCTTCTGCGCGTTTTGTCTAAATAATGGCCAAAATCTGTTTTCATTGCCATTTGTTGTACGTTTTTTAATGAATGTCTGCTCTTGCAATAAATAATAAATAAGTAATATAAATAGCATGAAGCAAAACCAAATTAATGTATTCAAGATTAATACTTTGTGTCTGTTCCATGCAGAGATAAATTCTATTAAAAATATGTTTGTGTAAGAAGCTTTTAGTTTCATTTACTCCTAGAAATAATATTTAACAATAGATAATTCAATAAGTGTGTGACCTGTGTTTATAAATATAGCTTAGCCTGACTTGATATCTGTTTTACCTTCAGGTTTCAGTGTTTTAAAATGAAAGAAGGAACCTTTTTTTTTTTTTTTTAAAGGCTATTAGAGGAGGGGTGAGGATTCCTAACTTACTTCATAAATTCCTAAAGAGAAATTTCTGACATAATTTTATTTTATTATTTTAAAGGTTTGTTTTTGTTTTCTGTTTTTTCTCCAACAGAGGAGCAGGAAGAGGAAGTTAACGGTGATTCAAAGGTGTCTGCCCAGAATAAATCTGATGAAGAAAAAGCAAATGATGTACCTCACCTTCCTACTTGTACTGAGAACCCACCGGTGCCCAGAGACCCACTGCGTAACCCCCAACTTTCAGATTTTGGTCTTTCACAATATGCTTTCTCTAGGCCTTGGAGTGCAGTAAATGGGCAGCAAGCAGCAAATTCACATCAAGAAAATTCAAAAATCAAGACTCCACTAAAAACACATACCCCCTGTATTTTGCCCAAAACACCAAAATGTATGCTCAAAATGGATGACTATGAGTGTTTAACACCAAAACTTGAACACTTTGGCATTAGTGAACATACCATGTGTATGAATGAAGATTATACAATGGCACTTATTCGTAAAACTGCTGAGACAACCAAGAAGTAAGTAAATTATTTAAAGTTCGGGTTGTTTCTCTATTGAATTTTCTATAGTTTCTTCTTGCTGAAACCAGGACATTGCTGTACTATCTTCTTGTTGCTATCGCCCATCTTTTCTTCTGCAAACAGGTGATTTATTTGTTATCTACCAGCTGGTTATTCCTGTGTCCCTGTCTAGCTCTCTACATGTATTTTTATGTACCCTTTGCATGTCAGATACTGATATGAAACACATCTCAGGTATACTCCTTCCTTGACTGCAGCACAGTAATGTCTCTTATACAATCTGTTTACAAGGGGAAAATACGATGTATAACTATGATATTTTACATTACTTAACCTAGGATTTGTATTTGAGTGATGCGTTGCCTGAAGTAGACATTACGTTACCAATTTAAACTTTTAAAAATCTTTAGGAATATAGCACTGGAAGACGTTTCTGAAGCATTTGGTTAAATGCCTCACTGTAGAAACACACTGTACTATCTCATTAGTTCTTCAAATAATATTCTGTAAATAGCTTCAGCTTATTGCACAACTTAAGATTTTTTTGGTTTCTTTAACTTCAGAATTGTTTTACTAATTTTTCTATTTAATGGGAACTGTTTTAAATGTGATCTTCAGCTTTAATTATGGCCACAGTTTCCAAACAGGTACATCCGCAAATGTACAGTCCCTGTCTGTGTCTTAGAGTGAAATGATTACAAAGTCCACTGGAGATTTGATTTTTTTTTTTTTTTTTTTGTGGTGGTGGTATCGTTTATAACTGTCAGTCTTCCATACCCCTAATGATAAATATCAAAATTCAGTAGAGAATTAGATACAGGATGGTTGGTGCTCGTTGCATCGTCATCGTCATTAATGGCCAAAACAGACAGGTGAGCAATAATTGGGACTAAAGTTAAAGCTGCACATGGACTCAGAATCTATAAGTCATTAGAATTAAAATGTGTTTAGCCAGTGTTTGTTTATTTTGCAATGTTGTTAGTGTTAGCATGCAATTTGATTAGTAAGATTGAAATAATCTAACTGCTTCTTATCTTCAAAAGGCATTTGTCTCGCCCCTTGGTGAGCAGGTTCAGCATGTTAAATGGGTAGAACGTTAAGGCAAAAGAAACTGAAGATAACTTTTCTGGGTAACGGGTATAATCTTTTTAAACTAGTCTGATGCTCTGGGAACAAACACTACTTCAAGCGGAAGTAGCTTTATACATGTGGTTTCCAGAAATCAATAATTCGGCCTTTCTTGGAGACAGCCCTGCGCTATCACATCCCTTACTTGTGCCAGCCAGGTCTCACACCTAGCTGAAATCTGCCTAGCAGCTGTGCATTGTGTGAAAACCATTTTAAAAATTCATCCCAAAGTTCTTTTATATATATATACACACAACTCTGTACATAAAATCATAATTTATTAATACATATAAATTTATATATTGAATAGAACTCAGTTCCCCAGCTGTTTATTTTTTTTCCAGATTTTCAGTTCTGAAACAGGTAAAACAACAACATATTCTACATGGAGCTACTACAAAGCTGAAACGAAAAGTAACTAGAAAAGAAAAAAGTGGAAAGTGTCTGAACAAAAGTGTTTACAATGAAGAAGAGCTAAGAGAAAAATCTCAAAACTTGAGGCTTGTTCATCTAGTTAAAATATGCTGCCTCAAATGTGTTTTCATAGTCATAGGCTTTTTGTGGAGGAGCTCCAAATCTGGTTCTTGTAATTAAGATAGTACTAGAGAAAATGTGAAAAATTGCTTAAATGCTAAAAGAAGCATGCATGAAAAATATTTTAAATATTTAAAATACTCTCTCTTAGCTATCTACACATTTTTTCCACTAGAATGTCTTGGATCTTAAAAAGGTTTTCAAAACTTGTTTCCGGTTTTGTGGAATTGATATTGAATGTTTTTGCCCTCAGAAGTCAGTCAGTAAGTAACCTAACATAAGTAACCTAACTCAAACTTTAAGAACAAGTTAAAAATCCTGTAGTATGCCGAATACCATTAGTAGGTTTAGAGTCAGGAACCACTAGCAAGAGTAAAATAACTTTAGTGTCATGAGAAAGTTGCAGTTTAATAGCCAACAAAATTGCTTAGTCTGTAAATTGTGTTTCTTCTATGAGTTGCGTGTTGGTGTTACTACAACTGAAAGATTGCACTGAAACATATCTGTGTTCTTAATTTGCCCGTTTGTGGCTCAGAAACTTACAATACCACGTTACACTTCTTGAAATGCACAGACCCAAAATACCAATGGAATCTAGTTGCTATGAGATTTTTTTGCATGGGCTTTCATTGACAAGGTTCTCTTGTTATTTAGAATTTGCAGGCAACAGGCAATTCAAAATGAAATAGGCTCTCCTCCTCACACATTTGATTCTGATCTGGGAAAACATATTCTTTTTAATACCTTGGATTAAAATCTCAGTATGTTTAATAGCGTGGTTGGACTGAACATGCATTCACATGCTAGAAATTACAGCAGTAGAATCGGAGATAGTAAAGTATTTCAGGAGAAAAAATTTAGACTCTTGTTGATGAACAAATACTAGACTGACTGGGTTGACACTATTCATTTCATGGTGATTTCTTCATGTTGAGAGCTAACTGAGGTTTTTGCTTGCCAGCTTACTTAAAAAAGATGATCATGCAGTGAATGTACCAGAAACAACATCCAAGGAAATCATGGTTACACCTGGGCCAAAAGCAGAAACAACAGATGAGAATGGTAAGTTAAAAATAAGTAAATGTACATATACATTTTTCTCAGAATGCATACGTTAACGTGGTCATTTTTTAAACTATGATTCTTGTTAAATATAGTCAGTTCAGGCCTGGTAATTATTTGCATATTAATGTCCACAAAATGTAACATTGGTGGCTTCTATGGGAAATCTGTTCAGTGTAAATCATTGCTCATTCTTCTACTGTTATCCATCTAGAATTATTCAGAGGCATCCATCATTTTGTAAGTTATCTTTTTAGCAATGAAAATACTTTTTCCAAGAATATTGCATCTGTTTCAAGCCAGGAAATTAAAAGAATAAGAAAGAAACTGCTTTAAAAGAGGCTAACCAAACAGTTACTTTGACCTTTCAAGAGTAGCACTAAACTTTTTTTTGAGAGGAAATGTAATATACTCTCTTGAAAATGTACAAAGGTCTTGGAACAAACATACAGGCTACTGAGTACATGAAAAACTAAAGTGATAGTGATTTAAGTTGGGCTTTTTCAGTTACATTCAGTAGCAGGACTGGACTTTTTTTGTACGTTTGTATTTGCTGCTGTTAGAGCTCTGCAGCTTGGGTGTTTCTTCATACCAGAAGTGTTATCAACTAAAATGATACAGGTGTTCTGGAGTATGCAAATAAATCCATATAAAGCTAATAGATTTGGGAAACTGAGGCACTGCAACTGGCAATGTATATGTATTTATCAATTCATTTATTTAATTTTCCCTAATTTCAGGAGCTGACTGTATGACTTCTCCTTTGGTACCTGTGTTCTGTACTCCTGGTTTGAAAATCCCTTCCAGGACAGATAGTACAGTGTTACCCAAGTCACAAGAGATAAACAAACTGCTTCTTCCTAAACATACAGAAACGCCACCACCTCCAGATTTTGAAACAAGATGGCTCAAGGTAGAAACTATGGTAGTAAATAACAATTACATACTTTGATATACTTGTACCATAAACCATTTTTCAAATGTCAATCTGTGATTCTTTTCTTGTGCTATTTTTCCTTATGTCTCTGTAGAAGATCTTTCTAATGGTAATTTTATAAGAACATTTATTAATAACCCACCCCTTAATAAGTTAACTGAAGGCATCTAATACCTCTTTTGCAACAGGTAAAGCCAGGGGAAAAAGTTGGGTCAGTGACAGAAAGTGATGCAAAAGAAAACCAAAACATAGAAGATAGCATTCCTCCTACTGTGAGCTCCGATGAGTATCTTAAGCGTTTGGGAGACCCTTCTCCTCCTAAAATAAAACAGTACGACCATTTGCTCAGTACTCCTCCACCTCCAGAAATAACAAGGATACCAGATGATGTTCTACAGGTCAGCTAATATATATTTCTCTGAATAGCTTTAATATCAAAACAGTAGTATTAAAAGAGTTTAATTCTATCAAGTATTGTTCCTCAAAAAGAAAGGATTATCTGCTGCTTATTGAAAATGTCTAGACTGTAATCCTGTTTTGAGTTCCTAAATAATTATTTTAATTCCCTTTTAATGTTTGCTGTAGATTCTGTCAAAGTATAATCATAAAGTAGTAGACTCTTCTAAAGACAAGAAAATGGAGACTAAGGCAGGAGGCACTACAAGATTTGAAAGTGATTCCACTGATTACTGCAACAAAGAGAACAGGTATGATCACATTTTACAGATTTGATTTGGAAGAGCTAGGAAGATGCTTTAGCACATTTAGAGATTCATGCAGTTGCTTTTGCTCTTCAGCTACCAAAATAGCTCTGGTTGATGTGACTAAATATCTAGTCTTTGGCATGGTATCTGTCTGCCTTTTGTGTAAAGAACAAATACTATAATTGCGTGTTTGAGTCATCAGAAGCTTTAAAAAATGAAGGAAAACAAATGAAGTTACTTTTACTGGTTTTAACTGTAGGTAAATGTTGCTTTTTGATAATCAAAGCCTCTGAGTGTTTTGTGCTTTCTTCTGAGTAAATTTAGGCAATAAAACTAAAGAATGAAGAAAATTTATATGAAGTGACGTAACTGATTATGTGGTCCTTTTGGCATAAGGCAGTAGGCACCTCAGCACCATACAGCTGTTTGCTCACCCCTCCCCCCAGTCCCAGTGGGATGGGGGAAAGAACTGGGGAGTGTGAGAACTCAGGGGCTGAGATGAAGACAGTTTAATGTGGGGGGAGGAATGCACAATGCAGTTGCTCACCACCAGTCTCCAAACTTTAAAAAAAAAAAAAAAAATCCAAAACACAGCACCGCACCAGCTACTAGGAAGAAAATTAGCCCTATCCCAGCCAAAACCAGGACAGGCAAATAGCAAATACCAATTTCTTTGAAATGCAAAGCCACCTTATGAATAATATGTGAGATGAAATTAGTCTACAATAAACATCAACCAATCTTTGAACAATGGAATAATAGGTTTTAAAAATTGATTGAAATAGAAGTTTTGACAACTTGATCAAGTGTAGATGTTCCTCATCTGTTATACTTGTTGCTTATCTGTTAAACTTGGGGTTACTATGGATTATTTGGGCAAGAGGTACAAGGAAATTATATGAAGTAAAATAATAATCACAACAATTCAGAATGAGATGAAGAAAAGTAGTTTTCTTAATATACTTGGAGTTGGAATCCATTGATTAATCTGATAGAGTAAAAGGTCTCGTTTTAGCTGACCTCTTCTTTTGTCAGGCAAGTTTTCAATGTTTGTGTCTTCTGCTAATTCAGAATATGATTGAGATGATAATAGGTTCATGAACTCATCTGGATATATTTGCAGAGCCTGTCCTGTTGCTTTCAAGCCAAACGTTTGAAATCAAGCTGAAGACCATATTTCACTTTCATGGACCTTATCACTGAATCACAGAAAACTCAAAAAGCAAAAAGAAATACCGGGAGTAAAGACCCAAAAAGAAAAGTGTTTTGTTTTCCTGGAGAACACTTGATATGGATTAATTCAAACTAATGATTTTATGCATAATGTTTTATTAAAATTAGTGACAAAATAGATCTTATTTTATATTTTTTAATATTGCTTCAAAGAGGACTAAGGTTGTGTATTATGTAATACCTCAGTTGTTTCATGTGATTCTTGTGTTTGCTGTGTACATGTGTGTGTATATACATCTGCAGTAGGTTGTAGAGAAATGTAACTAAGTTGCAATAAAAGGAAAGTCCATTACGCTGCCCAGGAAGTAGGCATCTCTCAATGCGCTAGTGACACTGCGTATCTCTTCAAGGCTGAGTTTGAAGAGGATTGAAGAATACTCTGACAGTATTTGGCATCTTCAACAGAATTCACTTATGTGAAGAGCAACTCCTGCTTTACTGTTTTAAAGCATTCAGCCAGGTACTCCTTCATCAGGCTGTCTGATGGACAGGCATTTCTAGCGCTTCTCTTTCAATTACAGCTTTCTTACATAGACATCATATTAAGTACTAGGCATCTGTTTTCCTTTTGGCAGTCTGATAGCTACAGCTCTAAAAGATGACTGTCTTGAATACGAATAACTTGAAAATATATTGTGCAATTGCTACTCGTTAGAGATCTGCTCTGTCTTTAACTGCCTGAAAGATTTGTTGGCAGGCATGTGAATGATTGCTTTCCTCTCCCATGCACCACTGCCACGTGTGTTCTGTAAGCGGTGCTGTCGTTTCCAATCGTGCGAACATATCCCTGCATAGCTGACCAAGCTGAACTTCTCAGAGCTGTTTGACACCTTTTGGTAGTCACAGCAGTTGAGATGCAGGTTGTTTTGGTTTGTTTGTTTTTCCACCAGAGATCTTACTCTTGTCCAAAAGAAATCCCAACTATGTATTCCTGCTTGGAGCCAGTTTGCTGTTACCAGTGTCGGCTAATCCTCTGTGACTTGAGTACTGCATTTACCAGCTTTATGTGGTCTTCCTGTTGGTCTTACTGTTATTTTAGTGTGCTTTCCTGAATTTTCTGAACGCAGATGGATGTTCTTTGAAATCCTCAGTGTGCACGCATCTGGAGATGCCTGAAAGTATTTTCCTGGTTGCTTAGAGGGACTCGCTTTTGGAGGGACCTGGCTAAAACCTAGTAAATGTAAGAGAATTTTTTGTGTTACCCCCAGACGCTTTCTGGGATGAATGTGCATCAAATTAGCTGGAGAAGCTGATTTTCTACCAATTCTGGCCTGAGCACGGTTTTATTTCCTAGCTTTTGTTTAGAAGTATATATTTTATGTCACTCTTTGAAGTTGACCAATACTTTGAATTCTGAACAAATCTTCTGTCGCAGTTGCTTTGTGTCTGCTTGGAAAACTACTCATCTGCTGCTTAAAAAAACTCTTATTCATTCTACCCAAGTCTTTCAGAGAATGAAGACCAGATCTCCTTCCAGCGTCTTCACAGACTAAAACCACTTAATGGGCTGTGTGCTAGTAATGGAATTTCATGGTCCTAAAAGGGTACAAAATATTCTGTTCCAGAACAAGAATCCTTCCACCAGACGGATTCACCAGCACTAAGCAGCGGGGGGTTTCAGAGCCTGCCTTCACCCTGCACTTAATGGCTATTTGATGAATGTTACTTTCTTGCCCTGAAGCAATCCAGATACCCTGAAAGACTCAGTTTAACATCAAATGGAGCAAAAAGCTTGACTACCTAGGACCTTGATGGATTTCTTTTTCCTTTCAACTAATAGAACTTCTAATATGGCTTGTAAGTGTCCCCTAATTGTGAAAACGGCATAGTTCTGTTAACATGTTGAGATAGAAGATCTCTTCAGGATGACACTGAAATCTTAAAATCTTACGGTCTTCTCATAAAATATCCCAAGATGGAAGAAATCTACAATGGTCATCCACACATGACACAAAAATCAGACCCTATGTCTGAGAGCGTTGTCCAAGCACTTGAACTCCAGCAGGCTTAGTGCTGTGACCACTGCCCTGGGCAGCCTGTCCCAGTGCCCGAGCACCCTCTGGGTGCAGACCCTTTCCCTAACCCCCAGCCTGACCCTCCCCTGTCCCAGCTCCATGCCGTTCCCTCGGGTCCTGTCGCTGTCCCCAGAGAGCAGAGCTCAGCGCCTGCCCCTCCGCTCCCCTCGTGAGGGAGCTGCAGGCCGCCATGAGGCTTCCCCTCAGCCTGCTCTGCTTGGGGCTGAGCAAACCCAGGGACCTCAGCTGCTCCTCATGTATCTTTCCCTCTGGACCCTTCACCATCTTTGTTGCCCTTAAGCTATTAGGACACGATGCTGGCATGAGATAATGATTTGGGATCTACAAATGAAGTTTTACAAGTTCATTTTGTATTTGTTTTTGGTTTATTTTGCTTACAAAATTACTCTTAATAGAAGTAGAGCTATTGTTTGTACTAACGGCCTCGTGTAAGGAGAAATATTGCTCTGAGGTGGATATAATCAGAGCAGCAAAAACTAGTTTTAGTTTGTCATGCGTGGGTTTCATTCGGTAAGACCTAAGCAGTAGCTTGAGTACTGAGCATAGGGGAGGCACAAGTGGAAACAAGCAGCATGGGAAACTGATCCCTGTTCAAAATCAATGGGGAAAGGTGGTGGTGGAAAGTTTCGGCTAGTTCAATTCGTGGCTGTGTGATAAACCACACGCTCAAATACTTGAACAACCATGGATGTGGGCTAGAGGAGGTGAAGGCTCTCCTTAAGCCGGAGTTGCTGCTGGAGCAGGCTTGTTCCACTGCCCATGGAAGTAAAATGACAGGTAAGAGTGGGAATCATACAAAAGAACTTAAAAGTTGTGTGTTGTTTTGTTGTAGGGTGAATGCAATAATAGTACTGGCCTGTCAGGAAGTGCAGTTTGGATAAACAGCAGCTAATTAAGCAGCAAATGCCTTTATCTGTAAGGGTCACCTGAAAACAGGCAAAGTTGTCTCAGAGCATGTTCTGTGCTGTTTCTAATCCTAACTGGGGGCTGCTTCCCCTAGCAGACACTTTTCTACTTTTCTTGCACAGAATTTAGAGGCTGTGCGGTTTTACAGTGGATTGTTTTCACCTGCTGAGCCACCGAAAGCTAATTAATTTTATTTTCTAGTTTGTCTTCATTATGGAAATCAGTAATCTCAGGCTCGACTTCTGCCTGGTTGCTAGATCAGATGCGAGGGACGGGTGAGAACGGGATCCCGTCCTCTAGCAGTAGCCTGCAGTCAGAACAGATTGAGCACAGCACAAAATTGCACTTCAATAGTTGGGACATCTGGGAAGCAACCAAAAAAACATGGCCTTTGGTTTGCCTTCATTTGCGACAGTTCTTAATCTTTTTGCGTTTGTTTTAGGATTAAAACGTGTCAGCTAACAGAGCATTCGCTCTCTAATCCTATTTGTTGTCAGAGGAGTGTCTCAAATTGTTTCTGCCTTGGAAGCCCCTAAAAGTGGTAAATGCTCTCTTTTCTTTGAAATATTTTGCCTGAGGTTAAATACAAATATAGATCTCACAAGGAAACGAAGCTTCCCAGATGGCTGTCAAGCAGACAAATGACAAGCAAGGCTTTTACTGCCTCCTGCTGTGCTTTATTGGTGTTTTTATAAATCACTGCAGCAATCACTAGAGCCAGGCATCTTGGGTTATTTAAGGCATCATGGATGCTTTAGATTTTCCTGAAGATGTGAAATTTATTTTGTTCTCTGTTCTAGAAAGCCAGTTGTTACTCAGCTGTTCCAGTACTCACGTGGTTGCATGTGTCCCATCAACATCTGTAACTGATATCGGAGCTGCCCTGGATTTTGGGAGTCCCGTTCACAGTCCCATGCCTTGTTTCTTCCATGGGACAGTAATACAGAGACTGCGTTGTGTATAAGGAGCAGAGACAGCATCCAGTGGCTGCACTATGGAATTGCAATGCATGCTGTTCCACAGAAATACAGCTTTCTACTAAAAATATATCAGTTGATACCAGCTACTTCTCAATCAACCAGAAGGTAAACTTCTTGCTATTCCTATGGTAATACCCTCTTTTACAAAGGGGCAGCTGACATAATAGCTGGGAGCTGACCAGGCCTGTGCACTGCTTTGGCCTTGTCTTGTCTAATTCACGTCAAAAGGTTTAAAAAAAAAAAATAACACAAATGTGGGAAAATGGTCCATGGAAGAACATGCCCTGTACGTGGGCAGTTTTCCTGGGGAGAGATCAGCAAAGGATTGTCGCATTGCAGAGCACCTGGCAGGAAGGTGTTCGGATGCCTTCATGATGCATTCCTGGTTAAAAGCCCTGCAGTTCTACTCCCTGCTGATTGCTCATGCACTTGTTGGAAACAAATGTAAGGCCTTGCTGCACAGTCCTGCCTTTGCTCTCTCCCAGTCACAGGCTCCCGTGCCCTTGGTTGCATCACTGCAGTTGCTGCTGTGGCTGCCTGGGAAGGCTTTCCTGCTTGCCCCAGCTGCCAGCCCTAATTGCTGTTTTGCAAGGTTAAATTACTCCTGGGCTCTGCACAGACCCGAATCTCTGCTCACCTGCAAAGACACTGACTGGTGCTGGGGCAGAAGGGAAAGGGCCAGGTGGAGGGCGAGCACAGATGTCCTATCTCACCACCAGTTTAAGCAGCTTGTGAAACCACATCCTTGCATTTAGCATCGAGCTGCCTTGGCTGTCTGACAGCTGTTTTGGGAAGGTTTCCTGTGGCCACTGCTCCATGACAAGTTTCTAGGGCAGCTGAATCAGCTCCTCCTCTTCACCCCAGCACCCATCACTCCTCCTCCTGAGCCCACTTGCAGATATACTTCTTTTTTATTATTATTATTATTATGTCCTGCTGTGTCACAGTGAGCCTGCTTTTGAGCAGAGCTGTAAAGCAGAACTTAAGCCTTCTGAATTGAGAGGAGAGCTTGGTGATGGAGTCAGGAACACCTCTGATGCAACAGAAGTTACCGACGAAGCAAGTGTGGTTTGTCCTCACCTCTTAAATAAGGAGAGACTTAACCCAGACGCCAGCTCCATCAGCAAAAACACAGCCAGCCTCTCCCAAAACCTCTACATAAACACTTTTATGAGGGTCAAGGCCATCACAAAGGCACACGCACCCCTGGGGTGGGAGCAGGACCCCGTAACAGAGGGGCAGCGGAATGAGAAGGGGGCTGTGCAAACAGAGCCCTTAGCCTAAGGGCTGAGAGGAATACCAGAGAGGGATTGGGACTTTTTTCCATTATGTTAAACCAAAGCCTGACAAGCAACAGCATCAGCAATTGTTACACAAGTTGTAACAAGGTAATGGTGAGGGGTTTGGTGTTTAAATAAAAAAGCATTTGTTGCGGCACACCTTCTTTTTTATTAAGTTTTTAAAAAGCATTGGTTTAGATGGATGAAATGAGAGGGAAAAAGTGGTTCTAAGAACCAAGTTTGCTTGGGGAAGCAGAGCAAAGTCATTATGAAAAACAAACCTGGAGCAGCAGGAGAGGTGTGGCCAAAGGAGTACAGAAACATGAAGCCACATCTGCAGGAGCAGAGGCAGCTGAGTTAGCTGAATGCAAAAAGGATAAATGAGGGAACAGGTTCCTGGTTTTCTAGCTGGAGCCATTTCATCCTGCTGCACCCTGACACGGGATGGGGTTCTTCCACTTGCGCTGCTACAAAAATAAAACAAGAGGTTGTGTGCTGTGAAGCACAGCTGTGAAACGAGACGCTGTGTCCTGTCAGTGCTGTGAGCATTGACAGAGACAAAGGGAAACCCCACTTCACTCAGCGGCCTTGCTGAGGGACAGAAACGCCTCATGAAATCTCGGAGTACAAAGCAAGTCCTGCTGACTGACAGCTCTGGGTGTAGTGTTTGCTGCAGCACGCCGCTTCCTGAGCAGATGGCATTGCTCACTGTTGTCGAGTTCTGAGACCGGTGTTTTAATTTCTCCAAACTGCTGCTTTGTACATAATTTGTTCTTTCAGCGACTGACTTCCTCCTCAGCATTTCCAGGAGTTTTGAAAGAGACCCGGGAGCTGCTTACTGCTGCAATCGGCAGGTGACAACTTTCACTCACCCTTCCACCTCTTTCAGCATCTGGATGGTTGCATCCCGATGTCTGGCTTCAAACAGCTGCTGTTGGACTTAGTTAGTAGCAGATTTTTTATTTTTTAAAACCCATGCACTGCACTGATTTCTCAGGTGTGTTTCTTAAAAGAAAGGTACAGAAGTTGAACTCCCTTCACTCCTGCACGACATCTGTGTGAGCTGTTGAAAGGCAAATCTCACCCCTGACAGGTGTTTGGCCAGAGGCACTCAGGGAGGAGGTCAGCTGTGGCTCATCCCTGTGTGGAAGTCATGTGAAGGTGAACTCCAAACTGAAGCACGCAAGCTGAGGGGTTTGCTACTGAAGGCAGTTTTGTGTGTTCATTTCCTTGTGATTTTGCTTCATGGGCTGCTGAACATAAAGCTGAGAGGGTTGTTCCCATTTCCCCCTGAGGTGTGCGCAGACCTGCTGCGGGCTGGGAGCCTCGCTGGGTCATGCCTCCTGCCCCAGCTGCCCCTCAGAGCAGCTCCAAGTCACAGACGCCTGAATATTGACTACATTTAATTTCTGCAATTACCCCTAAGGACATTAAAAGCCCAAGCCAGTACGCAAGGAGGAGGAAATACTTGTATTCCTGTAACTGCAGGCCCTTCTCTGCCTGTGGTAGGAGTCTGTTCAATGCCCTAATTCCACACTGCTTACCCCTAGCAGCATTTATATGATTTTCTTAATCTAGCTTTAAAAATAAAAGGGGGTGGGGAGCACGACATCCCTGCACACCAGCTTCTGCTTCTGCCCCTGGGCTGCTCGGGGCCGGCCAGCAGAGGAAGGCAGCCCCGGGCAGCCGCAGAAGCGAGGCGCCTTCGTGTCTCACCATCTCCCCCTGCAGTGATAGAAGGAAACAGGCAAGCGCTGGAAAGCCTCAGCTGCGCTCTCTACCCCCGGCGCTGACTTGCGGGGTCACCCTTTCCCTTTCTCCTGTGCCTCACAACCCGACAGTCCTGCAGGGCAAGCCGGGAAGCCCCGAGCCCCCCCTTCCCCTCCGCTGAGCTGCTGGGCGCCCACCACCAGCCTCCAGCTTCTCCAGGGGGTTTTGAAGTTTCAGGACACCCTTGAACCATACCTCATTAGCACCTGGCTTTGTCCTGACACCCAGGGATTACAGCAGCTTGAGAAATCAACACTCAGTACAAGACAAAATTACTTGCAGAAAATCATTTGCAAGCAGCAAGATTTACCCAATTCAAGCCAAAATAGATCTAATGGGCTTTATCGCTTAGATTTGGGTAATCAAGGGAAAGAGGAAACAGTATTCACCTTCCCAAAACTTATGAAGCCAAACCTGAACTTTGTCCTCCTGGTCAGTGTGTATTTTCATAACCAATATATTTTTACTATGAAACAGTTTTGCATACAACTTAAGCCAACCTCTGCCTGGCAACGCTGGATTTCTTCTGGCCAGGTCTCTGCAGACATTCACATCTTCTGACACGGGTCTCCAAAGCAGGATGCACCAAGACAAACCACATGGGTAAAGGAAGTATTTTTCGCATCGTTAGAGGTAAAATTCAAAGTTTTATAATGCACATATTAGTGAAGTAGTGAGATGTATACAAGTTAGATTGGGGGGGGGGGGGGGGGGAAATAAATGTTCAAAAAAAATTGTTAATGATAACGTGCCATGAAGGAAGTTTGGATCTGTTGCGGTATAACAAGTGAGACGTTCCAAGACAGCTTCACATTTCCCATTTCTGGAGACAGACCCAGCTATTTCAGAACACAAGGCTGATGTGCAAGTGCGCTGATCCAAATCTGCCTCTGGTAAGGTCAGCAGCTCTGCAGTGTGCCAGGATATCTGTGTCACTGAGACCACTCCTTGGACTCATCCTCCAGGGCCTGTCCTCAGAACAAGGTGGAGCAGCCCCAGGAAGCCACAATGGTCCACCCTGTTTCTACTCTCTACCCTGCAGCCCTACACAGCTCACCTTTGATCTTCCCCAGACAACACACCTACAGCCGCAGCAAGAGGAACACTGAGTCTGCCTGCTTACAGCCACATCCCCATGCTCATCCTCCAAAATTCAGGTACCAGTGCTTTAAGGAATCTGCTGTAAAAAAGCCGGCCATTCCTATAAAACAAGCCCCAAAGTTACCAGATAGGGACCATGACCTCTCTTTCACCAATTTCAACTTCTGCTTAAAAGCCAACTTCTGAATTGCTCTGCAGAAACCCACTTAAATAAAAAATCACTCTCCAATTCAAAAGATTAATAACATCGATCTTTATTCCATACAAGACAGAACTACAGAACACCTGCAATCTTCCTGGTCGCATTTTATGGAGATCTTGAAACTCTGGACACACCGACTTACTTTGCAAACTAACAGTCAGGGAAAGAGTGATGGCACCTCTAAAGAATAAGCGTTACTTCTAAGCAAACTAAAAGTTAAGGTTTAAAATTTAACTTTTACTCCTGATGCTTAGCTTTGCCTTCAAGTGTTCTTGCTTAGCAACAACAGCAATAAAAAAAAAAAAAGGCCTGCTTTAGAACAGCAAGTAGGAATAAGCACAAAAGGAAATCGTACAAAGAAGCAACAGCTTAGTATGGTCTCATGCGGCTCGACGGAGGTGGTGCGCGGTTGGGAGGGGTAATTGCTATGTCCAAGTAGTCTCCGATCTGGAATTTCTGAGACTGCAACGTCATGGAGTCATCTGTGCCCTTCCTGCCCGACATGGTGCTGCCGATCTCCTTCACCCTGCAGGCAGGAGATAAAGGCGGGTTAGTCACAGCCCCATCTCTCTGCATGTACGATACAGGTAGACACCTGTAACAAGATCACTCCTAAAACTCACATACTCTGAGATACGTGTTCCATTATCACCAGAAACAAAGCCTCATCTCACACAGTTATGTCCATATTCTGACTGCTAATAATGCAATCAAAGTCCTCAAGCAAATAAGCTCATTGTTTTGGGAACACAAACTACAACAGCCACCAATGCAAAATTTAGAGTTTGCAGTGGTGATCACATAGTCTGTTATCAAGAACTTTGGAAATTTGGTTTGTGGGCACCGGACTTTGTTAACGAAAAATAATTAATTGCTCTGGCGCTTCCGGTCTTCTATGAGTCTGGAGAAGAAACGCCGTTTACCTATATCCAGGCCGCTTGAGATCTGTAAAAACAATTGCAAAATTGAAGTGCGTGCCCTTCTTCCGTGCCTCCGGGTAGACCTCCTTCACTAAGCTGGTCAGCTCCTTCAGGGTTGCATCCATCCTGGGTTAAACAAACAAACCCAAGTGGTTAATGTTCTCAAAGCAACAACAACAGAAGCAGCTTTCCAAAACCCACTTAAGATGGAACCAATATATTGTCATTATTTAAACAAACATCTCCTGGCCTTTGCATGCTTTCTGCTGATATCTGAAGAGTTTTACATACTCAAGTTACACAGGGAGCCACCTACTCCACAACTACGTGCATTCCCGACAACGTATTTTCCATCTGGCAATCAAGCAAGAAGAAATCGCTCTGGTCAGGGACAGCACCCAGCAGAATCCACCAGCTACGGGGCACTGGAGGCAGCACGCTCCCGCGCATTAAGGATGTGGACAAAGGTTCAGCAGATGTGGGTCCAGACAGAGTTTATCTTTTAACTTACGGTGGTACGACACAAACATCTTCACCTCTATGTGTGCTTCAATATCTGCTTCTCCAGGTCTCTCAGACAAGTTACAATTTAAACAGTGACTTTTTTTAAAATGCATTAATGCACTTCCACAACAAACAGTGCGTCTTCTCATCTAAGCTGGTTCTCCATTCCTGCCCTAACACACAGCACCACAGCACCCTTCCTTCTCCCCACCCTTCAACCAAAACAGAAGTTAGAACCCCAAGAACAAAAGGACCCAATCATCACAACCAAAGCAGCACTAATCACACTCCTCCAAGCTTTATGCAACCAAGGAGCAGGCTGTTGACAGACAATGCCCGTTCTGACTCCTGCAGATGGCAACCAGCTCAGACATCATCAATAGCCTGGGCTGAGTCCATAAACCCCATTAAGCAGTAAGTTAGTAGCGTGTGCTTTGTTAGCCACGAAAAAAATGGATTTATTCAACTGTACAATGATAAGAAAGTCAGAACTCTAGCAGCAACCTTTAAGGAAAAACAAGGTTTAAAAAGTAGCATAATTCACTTTCAGAGCGATTCTAATAGTTCGCTTTCAGAACAGTTTGAAATGCTATGAGTGAAAACTGAAGTGTCATCAACAAAGACCGCAGGGGTGTTCTGAAGTGTGTCTGAAAGCAATAAGAAGCGGCTGTTACAGCACTGCTACCTGGCCATGCGAAAAGAAATGCTCTGCTTTAATTCGGAGCCTCAAGAGGCTCCAAATCGTTTTGTTTAATTTTGTTTGTTTAATTCGAAGCCTCAAAAGGCTCCAAATTAAGGCAATAAGAGTTCATGGAGCAGCTCTAGCCCTCTATAACAACGGATGCTAGTGCAAAACAAGGCTGTTAGGGTGAAATTAATTAAAACAGAAGAGAACCCCGAAGAAATACCAACACGGCAGCCTGTGCCGAGACCCGGCCACCACTCAGCACTCACCAGGTGTAGATCTGCAGCTCGCTGGAGGGCACATTGCCGCGGGAGAACTCGTCCATGCGGTGGTGCCGCCCGTTGTTGGTGGTGAAGACGCGGAGCAGCAGCGGGCACGTCTGGGGGGGGGGACAGGAGGCGGTTTCAGGCCCCAACGCCAACAACACCACCCCCAAAAACCGCCCCGCCCCGCCTCCCCGACACCCCCGCAAAGCTCCCCCGGGACCCCGCGGAGCCAGGGGGCAGCGGCACGGAGCCGGCCCGGCACCTTCTCGCGGTCGATCGGCTTCTCCGGCTCCTTCTTGATCTCCTCCTGCGTGACGCGAGACTCCACCGCCATCTTGTCGCTGCCCCGCGCCCTGCGCCGATCTCGCGAGAGGAGAGGAAGGGGGGGGGCGGGGGGAGGGAAGAAATGGCGGGGGAGTAGGGCAGGGGAGGGAAGGGAAGGGAAGGGAAGGGGCAGCTTTGGGCCCCTCAGCACAAGAAGGACATGGAGGCCCTGGAGCGTGCCCAGAGCAGGGCTACGGAGCTGGTGAAGGGCCTGGAGCACAAGGCCTGTGAGGAGCGGCTGAGGGAGCTGGGGGGGTTTGGCCTGGGGAAGAGGAGGCTCAGGGGAGGCCTCATTGCTCTCTGCAACTGCCTGAAAGGAAGCTGTGGGGAGCTGGGGGTCGGCCTCTGCTCACAGGTAACCAGTGACAGGACCAGAGGGAACGGCCTCAAGCTGTGCCAGGGGAGGTTCAGGTTGGCAATGAGGAGACATTTCTGCTCAGAAAGAGCAGTCAGGCACTGGGACGGGTTGCCCAGGGAGGTGGTGGAGTCACCGTCCCTGGGGGCGTTCAAGGAGAGGTTGGACGTGGTGCTTGGGGACATGGTTTGGTGGTGACATTGGTGGTAGGGGATGGTTGGACCAGGTGACCTTGGAGGTCTTGTCCAACCTTAATGGTTCTGTGATTCTACAGGTTTGACTGGAGTTGGGGTGGGCTGCCTCAGGCTTCTCTCCCTGTGCTGCTAGGTGTCACAGACCCGAAATCATTGCCTGTGTCTTCTCCTGCTTAGAAAAGCTTTTAATAAAGCAATGCTGATGCTTCTTGGAAAAAGGCACTTCCTTCTACATGGAGAAAGACTTAAACAGGAGTCTAATGTAGATAAATAACATAATCCACCACTGTAGCTACTAACAGGTTCAAATAAATTAGAAAGGGGTAAATTGTGTTTTGAGTTTAGCCTCCCTTAATATCATGTGTTGGAAGAACCAGACCTGTAGGCTTTCCGTTTATGGTCTTCTGTCTCCAAGAATAGAATCTTGTATTAGATTAAATTAGAGTCTGCTGATTTGTGTTACACTATAAGGAGATGAGAGAGGTGTGCTTCTGATCTGATAAATTAAATAAATAAATAAATAAAGTTGTCATTTATGTCAGAGTGGTGGGGTGCTTTCATTTGTTTTCAGAGAACTTATGCTTACATCATTTCCTCAAATGCTGTGAATTTATTTCTTGTTTCAAAAGTAAAACAACATTACATTCTTCTGTAAAATGATGGGAACGTGTATGTGTTCGTAGGTGTGAAACAAGTATCGGAGGCTCAGAAGTGCTGAGGTCAGATGGGAGCTCCAGAGGAGACCACAAACTCCTGCTTGGAGTTGAATATCTCCGAGGGTATGAATATCTCCAAGCACAGAAACTCCACAGCCTCTCTGGGCAGCCTTGTGCCAGTGATTGACCACCCTCCCAGTATAAATATTTAATTAAAGAAATAAATAAATTGATAAAGTGTTACAAATATTGAAATACCTATGCTGTAAGTGTTACAGTTTGATTTTACATTTCCAAACACTGTAGATACATGTTTTCAATGTATTATTTATTAAATATATATATATATAGGGTAGGAAAAATATATGTATATATGTATTCACCCATTCACAGCCTTCTGCATCCCTTGTAAAGAAGAAAAATGGTTGCAAGTCCAAACTCAAAAAAAAAAAAAAAGTCTTGCAGTTCACCTTTAATAAAACAAACAGCAATTTGTTTAAAACGTTGATTTATGGCACACCTTATACAAGATAAGAGAACCAACAACCTGTTGGAGTTCACCCTCGGCTCTTATTAACTTTCTTTTGTGGTAGCCTGGATAGTATTGTACAGTTTTTAACCTGTATTAAGTTATAGCATGTCATTATTTTATTATCAAAGGGAATGACTCAGCCTTGCCACCATTTGCAGGATTTGATTTCCCAGGCAACAATACAGTTTATTACACTGCTAAAATTAATTATATCTGCCCTGTTAATATATGCTTTGGGCTCAATATGTGCACCACCATTTTCAAAACAAAGGAATTTATGTCTGGGATCAGGTATCATAAAAGAACAGCTGTAACAAATAAAGCACATTTCTACGTAGATCTAAGTAGTTCCTTCTGTTAAACGTTTTGAATGCTTTATGTATGTGAAAAATGACCTAGTGTGCTTGAGCCTTAAGTAAATTCAAGTATGACTTAATTTATTATTTGTGAGCTGTGCTAACAATTGCAATTTATTTTCAGTCTAAAATTTCAGATTCTGAAGTATTTGGAAGAGAAAGTTGGAAATTATTTGGAAATGAGAATGCAGTTATGCACTCTGTAAGCTGGCATGCAGGATGCAGGTTTTACTGGAGGCAGCACTGAATTCCCTAGTTTAGGAGGAAACTATCCAGTTGGGGGCTGCTTTTCTGTCAATTTATTGCATTTGACATGTTCTAAGCAGGTTCTGTGATTCCTAGACATGGTGCAAGATGAGGGATGGAAGCGTGAGCCCAGGAGTGACTGGAGAAGGAGGGGAAGAACAGGAATTGAATAGGTCTGTCACGTTAGTGGCAGTGAGATGGTCAATTGCTTCACCTGCTCTTTATCTTTTCCTAGATTTTGAATAACAAAGGGTCCCCTCTGCTTGTCAGGGATGCTGTGTTTGTGCAAACCTCCCCTGGTACAAGCTAAAAGAAAATGAAGGCTTTTCACTGAGATAAAGCAAGACTCCATATACAAGCAAGTCTCCAGCCTTTGTTGTAAAGGAGATAACCAAAATATGAATCAAAGATTTTCAAGTGTGAATGTTTTGAGATCTGAAACAAGTGGTTTCAGAAGTGTGAATTTCCTCTTGCAGAATTGTTAGCACACTTAATTTCCATTTAAGTGGTTATTCAAATAGTGAATTTTTAATTGTTTGCTGGAACATGAAAGGTATGAATGAGAGCACGTGTTGGTGCCATTAGGATATTGGGACTGAAAAAAACTGCTGCAGCCATTTAGAGAACAGTTTTGTAAGTCAAGTAGCCTGCTGGCCAATGAAACAGTTACTGTAAGTAATCAAAAGGGAAAAAAATGCAAGTTGATGTTGTGTGACTTAAAACTTTCTAGGCAGAACAGAGAATATGACAGGAAATGAAAAGTGTCCTTGGAAAAATACAGGAAGGAGTGGCACAACTGAGCCTGGAAAAGCTACCAAAAAGGTAAACCTTGCAGAAGCTACAAAAATTATAGCAGATGACTAGAACAAGGGATTCTGAATGTTTCAGGCCTGTGAGTATGTTGTGTTTCAGTTCAAAGGAGCTGCACTAGCCTTACCCTTTGCAGCATGTTCAGGTTCCCAGGGCTCCCAGGACTTCAGGCATAGGTACTGGATTTGTGAGTTCTTGCTCACCATGACTACATGCTGCTCCTTCATTTTGCATGGCTGCATGCATGTCTAGAAAAGCTTCTTTGGTAGAGGTCTTGGTCTTTATCTTGATCGTGGGAAGTTCAACTAGCCTGTTTTGGCAAGAGCACAATCATCTTTTGAACGTCTTTATAGTCAACCTGGAGAGCAAAAACACAAATTTGATGGAGTTTTTACTACAGACAGACTTTAAACTGCAGGTAGAAGAACACCATTGCATTTTCTTTGCAAGTACGACAGCTGGTATTTCCTAGACTTTGTGTCATGGTAACATCACAGACACGTTTTATATTCAGAATGTTCTCTGTGCATTAGTTTTCATTACAGCATTTGAATTTAATTTTTGGTGTTTTGCACCAAAGTCAGTGTAGATTTCAAACAGCCTGTAGTGCTGCTAGAAAATAATACTGCTTTCATTAAAGCCTCAGTTGAATAAGATGTTCTCACTCACTGTCCTGTTTTGATTTGAGGTGATTTGGGACCATAAAATGCTCCATAATCGTTGGGCTTTTGTGGTCCTGTTCAACTTGAATGTACGGTCAGGAGGGGAATGAGTCAGTGAGGTCTCACAACAGCTCTGTGAGGATGATACTGCAGCCAAACAGCTCGGCACCAGAGTGCATTTGGGTCACGGATGAGGTGTAGCTGTTTCACATCCCAAAGGAAAAGGAAAGCCAAGGAAGTTGAGAGAGTTCGGAGCGATGGTGCAATCTGCGTTGGCCAAGAGCGCATCAGTGCCAGTGGGCAGATAGTTTAGGAGTGCTCCTGGATCCCCAGCCCACGCTAACCTCTTACATACCAGCACTTGTCAGTAATGCTGGTGTGATTTGGGTGGGAGCCTTTCTTCAACCTTTGAAAGTCGCAGCCTGAGCTCAGGTTTTCAGGTGTTCAAAAAAAGGGGATTGTTACACACATTATTGCATGCTCAGGTGTGAGGGCTGGTAGTACTGGCAACTGTCAGAATTACCAGAGCTGCTTCTCAATTTCAGCGACAATTTCCTGCTGATTAAAAATCAAGTTGAAGATCCTTGTGTGCTTGTTCTCTTGCGGTCTGGCTGCATCATATCTGGAAAGTCAGGCAAAGTCTTGTGATGAAAGTCAAGCTGAATTATTTCACTCTGTCAGTGAAATGCAACTTTCTGTAGAATTAGGGCAAAGTTATTCCAGAGAAAACTTCTTTGAGGAACAGCTGCAGGCAGTATGTGCTTCCTAAGGAGCTAAGAGCCGTCATCCAATGTTAGCATGTGGCCACGAGTAGCTTTGGAGTCTTATTTTAAAAAAATAAAAAATGCTATGCAGCAGAAAATCCCCTCCAACCCATGGATATCTGCGGTGGGGGTTAGTTGTACCAATAAATGGGTTGCTAGGAAGAGCTTAACTACTGTCATAAGTGCAGTGTGAGAAGGTGTGTGGAAAGGAGATGATCACCAATGCCATTTTGGGCTGTTAATCTGATGCTGCTTTTAAACACCGGGTTAGAAACAACCTGCAGAATCAGTTATGTGGAGTGTAAATCAGCTTGTTTTATTATTCTGTGGGAGTTTAAGGTAAAGGATGAGCAGGGATGGCCTGCTAGTTTGCTAGTGAGACATAAAAGGACTCTGTTGCTGTATACATAAACATGCAGAGACCCTGAGGCAGCATGCTAATTTAGAAGCACCAAGACATGACTGCCCCGGGGGAATCTATATTTGTCTGTAGATGACATATCTGCTTTCTTCTTTCTCTCTAAAGTCATCAGAAGGACCACAAGTCAATTAAAAGGCTCTGCAGCTGATTTTCTGTTACACATAATTGCAAAGTTGTTTTTTAACTGCTCTGCCACACCAGCCCTGATCAACCTGCACCGCCTTGCGCTCGCTGCAGGCAGGTAGGTGTTGTGTGGGAGGCAGAGCCTTGTAAACACACTGCCTCAGTCTTGCTGGTGTGAGACCCTGCTCTAGCTGTTTGTGGTGCTGCCAAGCGTTATAATTGTGCCATTCGGATGGAACTATTCCAGATCAGGTGTTTCCTGAAAGAGCATCCTCAGGATGCTTTTTATTCGCACTCAGAAAAAAATATTTCCAAGACTAATATTAGGCAGATTGGAGTTATCGTTCCGGTTTCTGTTATTTTTTGTTCATTCCGATACCTACAGCTGTTTGAACACCTGCAACATCTACGTACTTTTGAGAAAGAAACACATTTTGGCAGAGGTGTATACTCCTGTGTCAGAAATGTTCCCACGAAGCAAATACATTGGACTGAACCATAATCTCTTTTTAAAAGCTGATTTATCCATAGTCAGCAGAGACACACGAATATTGGGCAGCTGATTGTACCCGATCCATCTCGGTGTGTGTGAGGGATCCAGAAAGACGCTCACCGTGTTCCTGTGCCTGGGCACGGCACCTGGGAACACCAGGGCTCTGTTTGTTCCCTCGAGGCACCGATCCCAGCAGCAAGCACCAGTGAGGGATGCAGGGTGCGATCCTGCCCTCCATCCTGAGCGGTGGAAGGAGAGGGCTGGAGAGCAGATCCCCAGCACTTTGGTGCAGAAGTGTTTGCACTCTGAATCGACAACAGAACTACGTATTATGCAAGAGAGGTGCAGCAAAAATAGAAATGACTACTTGAATTTCACCTGAAAGGGAACAGAGCAAAGTAGAGCTTGTAATTGTCAACAGAGGAAGACAGAATTCGGTTTCAAGTAATGAAAAAGCAAGTCCTGTTCTGTCACGGAGTTATTTTCTTCTCTATACAGCTCTACATCAAGGTGTGATGGTGAGATGTACTAAACATTCCATTGATTTTTCCTGCTGGGGTCGTAGTCTGAGTCACAAAATGTAAAATTAAGGGAGAAAAGTTGCCAGAATCTAAACCTGGTTTTCATTAAAATGTGTTGTCATTTCGCTATAAAATACATCTGCTACAATGTTCCAGAAATTTTAGGCACACAATAGAGTCATAAACCGATTTTATAACTTGGGTAACACTGTACCATAGACTCTTGTTTTCCCCCCCTACTGTTTGTATTAAATTACCTCAGTCCCGAAACGTTCGTACGCTGTAAGAAATAAATGGGTTGTCATTGCAATAAGTGGAATTTTTTTTTCATGGTGTGTGAGATGTGTTTTCTAGAGAGGACAGCCAACATCAGGAGCGTGTCGGGCTGTAAGTCTCCACAGGCAGTTAGCCTGGCACTGCGGGCCCCCTCCTGGGCCCCCTCGTAGTGCTGAGTCCCAGTTCCCCACTGGGGCAGCTCCAGTACTGGGGACAGCAGTGGGGAAGCAGCCCTGGGACAAAGCCAGTGTGTCCCCTCCCAGCACCACCATCTGGTACAGATGGCCTTACCGTTGTCTTCCGTGTTCCCTCTGCAGGCAAAGCCCTTCCCTAGCTGTTTCCTAGGCCAATGTGATCCCATCCTTGAACAAGACACGAAGAAGTCAGAGAAGGAGGTGAGCATCTACATCGGATACACACAGTCCTGCTCTTGTGTTGGTGGGAACACTTCTGTGAATAAGCATTAACAGGCTGGGTTGCTGGTTATTCCAGCACCTTCCCCCAAAATATCTGTATTTTCCCTTCCCATATAGAAGAATGTTAAAAGAGTCAAGCTTTTACTTCTAAAGTAAATTCCAAGAGATCCAAGTGTGCAAGCACATACATTTTATTGACAGCTCCCTGGGTATTCTGCTCTTCAGCTTGCCATCCATCTCTATAAGTTTCCAGCCTGTGGTGTGCACAGTTCCTGCTGAAAATAGTGGAAGCATAAAGATGAATCCCACACACCCAGACGAGATATTCCCTTCTCTTTTCTGGCCCAGGATGAGAGGTCTTAACACTGAGAAGCTCCCCGTGTCTGTGGCATGTCACGCTGATTCTTTAATGACAACTTAGCTGCTGATACATGAACCCTCTCTTGTCAGGCTACAGCCACAACAGCAGTCATATTTTATTCAGCCTTGTTCTGGGGCTCCCAGAACCACGCAGAAAGTTTATGAGAGCGGTGCCATATCCTTCATAACAGAGGGTGATGTCGTGTAATCCGTTACATGTGTCCTGCTTCCAAAAACATCACCATAAAGAGCTGAGCGAAACTTTTCTCCAAAATAAGTAGTTCCATGTGGCAAGCCTTGTGGAGCGTAAAGCAAAGCTTCAGCACCCCGAGACAGCCCATCTGCATCTCAGGAAAACCTCTTGTGGCTGAACATGCAGGGCAGAAAACACAACTCTCTAACTTTCCTTTTTTTTCTTTTTTTTCTTTTTTTTTTTTTTTTTTTTTTTGCCACCAGGACATTCTGGCTGCTATAAATTACTCGCAACATTTTGAATAGTGCAACATAAACCCAAATTCATTTCTGAATGCAGTGTTTTATGTATTGCAATATCAATTAACTCTTTTTTTTTTTTTTTTTTTTTTTCTTGAATAAAGGAAATATCCATCCCTGGGAATTTACAATATGTGAAGTTGGAGCCCAGAATGCATTCTGACAGCTTGGTTACCGTAAGCCCCTCAGAGACACGGCGCTTAGTGGAAACACTGACATAATCTTAAGGATAGTGGCGGGAGCGGTGCCAGTAAAACAGAACGTCCCGCAGGCACAGTGCGAGGCAGAATCACCTCGGCTCCCCAGATCACAATTTCTTTGAAAGAAAACCTGATGGAAAGTTTGTGCACGCCTGTTCCTTGGGCTAGGAAAGAAGATTCCCTTTATGTACCAGTGCCTATTGTTATTAGCTGTATTACATTACGTTTGGCACATGGCAAAAGATGCTGGGGAAGCTCTCCCACAGGAAGGCCAAGCTGCACGCTGCTGCCAGGGTGCCAGCAGGAAGAAGGCGCTGCCTTTGCATTTCTTGCTGTTCCCTGCCTCACTGCTTACTCATGTGAGACAGGTTAGCACAGACTTCAGATTGTTTACCATGATCTTGCTGATCTTGCCTGGAATGGGCGAGGAAGGGGAAGGGTTCGCACAGCAGCTCCGCTGGCACATCAGTGGGCCAGAGGGAACGGTGATAAAGGGCATCCTCTTGTGGTGGTACGGCTGGAGCCAGAACACGACATCTGCCCATAACCTGTGCTTTCCAGCAGCAGGCTGGACATTGTGACATTTTCTGTGGCAGTGTGACAGACCGTGACATTTCAAACCGCTCTGTGCAGGGCTCTGTCTTGTTTTCACAAGCTGTGTGCGAAAGCGTAACGCTCCAAAAAATAAATAAGCGTCTTGCTGAATCGCTGGGGGGGAATTCTTGTAAATGAAGAAAGTGGAAGGAAAGAAATCAACTATTTAAAAATAAGTGAATAGAAGAAAAATAAAAAATAAAAATAAAAAAATAAAAAAATAAAAAAATAAAAAGAAGACCTTAACTTGGCACTGCTTCACAGTCAGCTTTATACTCTGTTATCCCTGTTACAAAGCTCAGACCAATTCACATCCATTTATATTAAATTTTAGGGCACAGAAGAACAAGAGAAATGGCTCTTCCACACCTCCTAGGTTTGATTTGTCAAGATGAAGCAAGATTAAATACGCCCTGGTGTTTTGTTTGGGCCTGAGGAATGCAAAGGCGTAATAATTGCCAGCTGATACACCAATTTAATGCAGTGTTCAGATTTTTTTAAAGATTGTTATCACTTAATGCTACCTTTAAAAAGGAGGTAGCGGAATGAAACAATAGAAAAAGAGGTACCGTATATGAAAGGAGGTGAAACTTTCAAATACAAGAATTGCAAAAGTCCTATTACTTGAGGTACAGCTAGATTTACTGACTGTTCGAGATCAATTAGGTAAGCACAATGTTTTGAGTACATAAAAGTGAAATATTAAGAACACAGGGCACAGTTATTGCTAAACTTTTATGTTCAAATTCTGGTGTACAGGCCAGATGTTAAAATGCTGTTAAAGTGCAGCAACTCTGTTGCTGATTATGGGTCTGTCTTCACCCAGAGCAGCATGGAGCTCTGACCAAATGCCTCAGGCAGTAACAGGAAGGAGACTCTGAAAGGATTTTAGCCAAGACCGAAGCTGAAATGATAGTCTGTAGATGTTATTAATTGGTTTCTGATTAGAACCCATGAGGAGTTGTCGGAATGAGAAATTCATGAGTGTTAATCCATCCTGGGCTGCAAATGAAGTGGGGAGATTTGTGTGTTTGTGTTAATATAGCTCACAATTCTTTGAACTACGGCCAGTGGATGCAAATGATTTGGCAGATGAAGATGTCACATATTTGTCACAATTTTCTGTTTACATGGCAGATGAACTCCCTGGCCAGTCATGGAGAAGTTGTTTTTCCTTCTTGCACCAGGAATGCCTTGACTTGGATGAACACTTTTTCATTTCACTTTCTTTGAGCACCTTTTCTTGAGCTGGTGATTCTTGGTGGGGTCAGTGACAGAAGGCCACCAAGAAAGGGCTGTGTGCTTGCTTCTGGGGTGCTGAAGTTCATCCTCCTGCTCTCCTCGGGCTGTGAGTTGTACAGCTCCTTTATCTCTACACACACTGGATGCTGGACCCATTTTCTTCAGGCTGCTTGAACAAGTTTTCCAGTTTCCTGCTGGGACTGCAATCCCACAATCCCAGTCATCAGGACTAGGGCTGTGGTTGACTTGCTGGCCAAGTGAATGGATGGTGAAAGGTGCTTGAAGAGCAGCTGGCCCTTGGTAGGTTTGGAAGATGTCAGGTGGCAGTGTTGTTGGTCCTACCTATGTGTCACTGACTGAGCACAGAGATACTGCTAAGATGTGGGAAATTATTCTTTTGTGTATGCTGTTTTCCAGTCCAGCCAAGAACAAAGACAAAGCTATGCCAAACAGCAATGCAACGTCTTAATCGTAGAATCATAGAAAGGCTCGTGTTGGTAGGGACTTTAAAGATCATCAAACTCCAACGCCCCTGCCATGGGCAGGGACACCTTCCACCAGCCCAGGTTGCTCAAAGCCCCATCCAGCCTGGCCTTGAGCACCTCCAGGGATGGGGCATCCACAGCTTCTCTGGGCAGCCTGTGCCAGGGCCTCACCAGCCTTACAGTAAAGATTTTCCTCCTCATGTCTAATCTAAATCTATCCTCTTTTAGATTAAGACCATCCCCCCTTGTCTTATCATTATCTACCCGAGCAAAAACTCACTCTCCATAAGAGAGTGAGTTATAAATGTGGGCTTTTTATAAGCCCCCTTTAAGTATTGAAAGGTTGCAGTGAGGTCTCCCTGAAGACTTCTTTTCTCCAGGCTAAACATCCCCAGCTCTCTCAGCCTTTCTTCACAGGAGAGGTGCTCCAGCCCTCTGACCATCTTCGTGACCCTCCTTTCGACTTGCTCCAACAGCCCCACATCCTTCTGGTGCTGGGGGCCCCAGCCCTGGACGCAGCACTCCAGGTGGGGCCTCACCAGGGCAGAGCAGAGGGGCACAATCCCCTCCCTCCACCTGCTGCCCACCCCTCTGTTGGTGCAGCCAGGATGCAGTTGGCCTTCTGGGCTGCAGGCACGCACTGCTGGCTCGTGTTGGGCCTTTCGTCCACCAGATCCCCCAGGTCCTTCTCCGCAGGGCTGCTCTCAAAGAGTTCTTCTCCCAGTCTACTCATGTTCAGGATTGCCCTGACCCAGGTGCAGCACCTTGCACTTGGACTTGTTGAACCTCATTAGGTTCACATGGGCCCGATTCTCAAGCTTGCCCAGGTCCCTCTGGATGGCATCCCTTCCTTCTTTGGTATCAACCGCACCACTCAGCTTGGTGTTATCTGCAAACTTGCTGAGGGTGCACTCAATCCCATCATCTACATCATTGATGAAGACATTGAGAAGTGCCAGTCTCAAGACAGACCCCTGAGGGACACCACTTGTGACCAGTCTCCACCTGGACAGAGAGCCCCTGACCACCACTCTCTGGGTGCGGCCATCCAGCCAATTCCTTATCCACCAGAGGGTGGATACCACCTACCCTACAAATCCATATCGTTCCAATTTGGAGATCAGAATATCATGTGGGACCATGTCATAGGCCTTACAGAAGTCCAGTTAGATGACATTGGTCGGTCTTCCCTAGCCAACCGATGCAGTCACTCCATCACAGAAGGCCACCAGGTTGGTCAGGCGC